GCATTTATCTCCATAAATTATAGTAACACATATGCTGTTTTAAAAATGAGTCAGAAAGAGTTGTTTCTTAACGCAAAATGCAATTCAAATATTCGCTCTCCCGCGAAACTTTCCTTCGTGGACGATCCCAATTCGTCGTTTTTCGAACGAAGGAACGTAACTTCCCATGGTTGCAAAATTAACCAAAATACTTCAATTTTTTACAAGAATACACCTATGCAATTTCCGTCCAAATTTTTTCTGATTTTCGCACGAGGTCAGAAGACAACTCTGTGGAATTTTCAGCTAGAAATGCCCAAGATTTTCCTAGTAAAAATGTAAGTTGCGCGAAGAAATTTGGCAACATTGGATTGAAGTTACGCTCTTTCGTGAGGAGAGCGCCGAAATTTTATGGTGCATGAATAAAATGTACTCCTCCAGACGATACTTACTTCGCGGTCCATTATTATAAATACCAATGGAACGCGGACAAAAAAACCCCTTCGTACGGTGATTTAATCCGATTACTTAATGCATTACGCAACGATTTAGCGTATTATTCAATTCAAAACATGTACGAAGACCATTTATATGCATTTTTACGAAGTTACTCCGCGCGTGAAAGAGTCAGTTACCTGTTTACCTCTTTTTTGCCGCCGAAAACGCTGGAATCGCAGACACTCGGGCAGATGACCTTGGCCGAGATGTTTTGACCGCTTCAGCGATCTCCGCTGCGTTTTATGGAAGAAAGCACTAAGTGCATCCTGTATTGAACCGCGGTTTGTATGTGCGTTAATGCGCTTCGAAGCCTACTTTAGAATGCTTTTACAGAATAAGAGATTACGTCTCAGTGATACGGCTTAGAGATCTCTCGTTGCTTTTCTTAAACTGTAGCTCTCATCGACTTCTAATCGGTTTCTTACTAATTATATCGCATTTACCGAGTGTCACTTGGCGATAATTCTCTAGCAATTAGTGTCCCGGCGATTTCGAGCCGCACTCAGGTGCCAAAATTCAGGGAAATACCTACGTTCAAAATGAGCCGCAAAGAATCCGTCGGAGTGTGCTCACGGTTTCGTGCAGAGAACATAGAACTCGTGCGATTAGTATCGTTGAGAATCCGTGCATAGAATTATTTTGCGTCAAAGTAGACGCTCAATCAACTTGAGTTGTATAGTTCCTGATTGCAAAATGAAGTCCAAATAATACTCCTACTTAAATGCGATTAAAGTAATTTCAAATTAAATTGGACTACGTCAAGCAGAAAGACACCAAGCCACATTAGCTATTGCCAAATTTATTTGGGCAATTTTTTACACGATCACGGATGTGCGGATTTTTGCCCAATTTCCGGTGAATTTTTCGCTCAGCACGAAGCTAATTCCGTGACAAAGTTTCTAGGAATTCGCATGAAAATTCTCTTGTAAAAAATTGAATTGCCCAGTTTTTGACAATAGCTAATGTGGCTTGGTTCCTTTCTGCTAAATGCGGTCCTATTATTGTCTTCATGTAATAGAGTCACTTAGAGGTATAGTTAAAGTCAAATTAGCTGGAATTTAGTCTTTGACTAAAAATTAGAGCTAATTTTTTTGACTCTGTCTCATCTTCTATATGGGAATAAAATATTATCATTCTTAACCATTGTATTACCTTGGAACTGCTCTCTGGATTTTTGTTGGAAGGATGGGCCGTCTTCTGCGGTTAGGATGAATTTCCGTCAGAAATGGTTAATAGGGCACGTGGGGCATTGAGATATGCGAGTCTCCAACTTAGGCATAAGTTCTTGAGAGGAATGAATGAGCGTAATGCGCTAGGTCTTGGTGTCTTGGTGACCGAGTGACCGACGCTTATGCTATGTCATCGCGTCCTGAGACGAGAGTTGTTCTCTTCACTTCCGTGCTTTTGCATCGCGCTTCAACTTCGGTCGTCCGCTCGCACGCAAGATCGGTGACCGGTCGTGGTAGGTCTCGCTAATAAGTCTAGGCCAGTTCATTTTTCGGGCCCAAATCTTCGTGATATAACCGAAACCAAAACGATTCTTGTAATTTTTTTTTTATTTTTTTTATGCTGCGAGCATACGGTGTGCCTATATCGGTAATAAAGAGGGACCTAAAGATTAACACAAAATAAATCAAGATAGTTTGTTTTTATGACGAATAATCTAGCTAAACCAAGAGATGTCATATTTTTGGAGGGTGGAAGTTATTCCATTTTATCTCTCTGGGACAACTTTGGGCCATTATTCGAGATGTGAGGGAATGGCTAGGAATCAGAAAGTTCTTAGCTTTCACATTTTAATAACTCTTTTTTTCCTCGGAAATCTAAGAAAGATTACTTTTTTTACGGCTCTGTATCGTCGTGATCTTGTGACAAACACGCGATTTTACGAAAAGCCCGTGATTTTTATTGCAGTTTTGAAAAAAAGGGTGAGGAGAAGAGCAATCCAATGTTGCCGGCTTTCTCTTTAAAAAACACCGTTTTCGGGGCCTTCCCATTTTCACACGATACCAATCGCTGGTCAAGAAGTTTTTGCACCCAATCCGCAATTATTGCGAATGCATTGCTACTCCTCTGGAACAATTCTTCCTTTCAAGAACCATTATTTGGGATTATTACTTTTACCAAGAAACTTTTCAGCTTCATAACTAAATATTTCACAGATTTTTCTTCTGACTACCGGCAAAAATCAGCAACATTTTGGACGGAAATTACTCATATCATTGTATCAAATAAAAGTTTTCCAAAGTCAATTTTGTAACCTTTGACTAGAGTTACGTTCCCTAGTCTGGAAAACTACGAATTTAACTACATTTTTCAATTAGGAATTATAATAGCTGGCTCAGTTTTCTGTTGCATAGACGTGTTTTTACGGATGAGCCAGAAAATGTAGTTCCTAATTGTAAAATGTCCAATTATCAGTCTTCCACCAGCAGCGTCCTCGCAAGAACCTCGTTAAAATGAGGCGTTGAAACATCTGATCAAATCCAACTCAGCGACAGATTTCACAATTTTTAGCCAGCTAATCCACTTTGCAAAACTCTATCTTTCAAAACAAGGCTGCGAGACACGCAATCATTGACCCAACCGGTTCGACAAATTCCAAAAAAATCGAAAAATTCGCTATGCTGACTAATAAAATCTTTCTGCCCGCGATACGTCACAGGCTTCTAACGATAAATGACCAAGTTCTCTCTAAAGTGGAACATGTCCTTATTTCAGATGAACCCCAGAACACTAGGAATAACATGTAACCCAAAGCTCGCATGAAAATTGACATGATTCCCTTTGGAAACGACTCGTTTGAAATTGATGGCGCAATGGGTGTGCAACGAAGATAACTCGGGACTTTTGCGGAAGTTACATCCCGAGTTGTATAATACACAATTATCGATATTATCCCATCAGAAGCTATGGTGGAGGATCGATTATCATGGTGATCTAATAATCGATCATTTTCAATAGGTTAGAACGGCAGATTAGTCGATTGATCGTAACGCACCGAATCGGTCGGAAATGCGGGGTATTTTTTCGCTACTGGATCTCGGTGAGCGGGAGCTTTGGACTTGGAGTGAGCTTTTAGAGCGTGGAGCTTGGAGCGCGGCTGTCACGTGCGTTTATGTCGCCGCGGATACGAGTACACATCCGTGACGTCAGAACTGGAAAATCAGCTGGTTGTTGCGCGCCAGCAGCGGCGCACGGTGGATCGAGTCAATTGGAGAGGTCGGAAAAAACTTGGAAACTTTCAAAGCTCACTGGAAAAAAAAAACACATTGGATGTAGGGTTCAGACTCCTAAAAACATCGACAAGAAAAAATACTCTTGATTCAGTCGGATTTTTGCTTAAATCAAGAATCAAGCCTCTTAATTTGAGCGGATTTCCTTTTGATTTAAGCTTAAATCTGAATGAATCGAGAGTCCTTTTTCTTGTCAATGTTTTCAGAAGTCTGGACTCTGGATCCAATGTGGTTTTTTCCAGTGTTTATAATTCCGTTCTTGCAAAATCTCGAGGTTCCAAAAGTGGTTCCATTGGTTTCCTCGTGAAATCTTCTGCTAGGAGCACAGCTTTAAATTTAAATTGTGACGAAGTAAACATCAAAAAAATTTTGTCCGACCTCTGTAATTGACTCTATCCACTGTGCGGCGCGGCGCGGCGTTCCAGCGACCCACGCTTGTAAAATGACGCCTTGTTGCCTCGTTCTTCTGATAATATTGCTGCAGATTTCCGTCCTAAAATGTATCGAATCAGACTCAGGCTGACTTTATGGTGTCAAGGACCAGGACCTAAAAACCGTTATTAATCAGGGAATTGAAAATTTTAGGGAAGATCAGGGAACCTGTACCAACAACCGGGAATCTCCCCTTTTACAGTTTAGAGACCATTTTAAGGTTTGTGTTATTGCACCTGAGCCGCCATAATTGACCTCTTAAATCTTCAAATTGACAGAATAATAATGACCGCAGGCTTTCTTTGGCCGGATAGTATCATCAAAAACGCTTTTGGAATTGAAAATTCTATTGTACATCAAAGAATCAAGTGAAAGATTAAAAAAATCCGATGTTTATATTTAAACTCGGGAGGATTTGTATCGTTTTATAGAAGAAAATCCTGAAGAATTGGGAAAAATTTTGATTTCTTGTCAGGAAATGAGCTCCTGAAAATCGGAAAAAATCATGAAAAAATCAGGGAATGAGCAATACTAACAATTATTTTAGACAGCATGAATGAAATACAATATATACGTGTTCGGATTTGTTTAAACGGACCTTATATTCCGACAGAAAATTTTCAAGGAAAGCCAAGTTTAGGGATAAATTGCAAATTCTGCGATTTCGAGTTCTCTGGACGGGAAACACTCTTCAGGAGTCTTTGGAACAAGTTGCGCGTGTTTTTAAACTTCCGTGTGTAAAAAAACCTAAAACCCAAGAATTTTACCTAAAACCCAATAATTTTTCCTAGAACCTAAGAAAATCCCCTCTCTTTTGAAGCAAGTTATCTTACCGAGTGTCTTTTCTGTCAACAGGTGAAATCACTAGCGATGTCTTACGAATGGTCAGAGAAGCCCGCATGAGGACACTTGGCCCTTTCAGTCCTTCATTCAATGTACAAACCGTCCTAATGGAAGGATTGCAAAAGGTATGTAGCATTTCTATCTTTCATTCTCCTTTTTATGTTCTTCACTGAATTTGACACATTCTACTTCGAAATACTATTTTTTTTTAAATGAAATCATCTTACCTGAATCGAAAAACTTCGGTGAACGAGACTTGTTTCCTACGTGGAAACTTAAATTTTACTGAAAATATTGAACCCTGGTAAAAATTGGCAGTAGAATCTGTGTTTCAAAATACCATAGACCTTAAGCCGGCTGTAAGGTTTTCAATAGCTTCTATAGCCGGATGCACAATTTCTTATAGCCTTTTATAGCCGATGGCGATTAAGCAACAGCCAGACGATAAAGTGTATGCTAAACGTTACTAATAACGGATGCTAAGACTTATCGAGTTTTTGGACTACCGCTCTACTTTTGGGCCGTAGTAGCTTGATTTATTTTGCGCGGAAAGCTGCGTACTTTTGAAGGATGCCTGTCATTCCTAATATGTCGGAGCGCCTTCAATTTCGTATGATACTGTTTAATACCTCTGGTGTGAAATAGTTGCTTCAAGCGCCGTGGCACGCTGCAGCGCGGCGGGCGGGTAGCCAGCGCGAAAAGCGCATTAGCGCCTACAAACCTAACAGGGATACTTCAAGCATTGCGCAATGCGTGAAGTATCCCTGTTAGGTTTGTAGGCGCTAGTGCGCGCTTAACTCTGGCAGCACGCCGCTCCGCTCTGTGTTAGGCTCCAATATATGATCTCGCGGAGTCAGCGTTTTTCAACCCATGATTTAAAATGTTTGCACATCCTGTATGGATTATTCTCATTTTAATTGATGAAAAAAAATATGTATTAAAGGAAAATATAATGTGTGTTTTGTCAAAGTTATGGTGGTTCCGTATCAAACTTAATGATTTCCAAAGCGCACGAATTTCTACACAATTTCTTATAGCCTTTTATAGCCGATGGCGATAAAGTGTAAAGCCCCGCGATAGGAGCTATAGCCCGGCTGTATACTTTTTTTATCGCTTCGTATAGCCCGGCTATATGATTTGCCCCGCTTTCTATAGCCAGCTATATGATTTTCTATTGCCTTCTTTAGCCGGCTATAAGAATTCCTATGGTATTTTGAAACGCAGCTCCTATCGCCAATTTTTACCAGGGAAGAGAGGTTTCCTTTCACGCTAACTTTAACTTTTTTTTTAAAATCGTCATGAAGTGTTTCCCAACAGTCATTTTTCTAATAAAAAATATTATTAGCTCCACCATTCATCTATGGCCTCGGATGATTCCCGCTAATAGCGGAACAAATATGATTGGGAACAATCGGCCATCAGTTTCTAATGGTCCGAATTCGCTCCTCTCGCGAAAGAACGTATTTACATTTCTACATTGCCAAATTTCCCCTCAAAAATTGTGTTTTTAACAGGAAAATCTTGGGTATCTCCAACTGAAAAGTTCCCTGAATTTTCCTCTACCGCATGCATAAAGCATTAAATTTTTGGTCAGCATTTTCGCAAGTGTATTCCTGTGCAGATTTTTCAAGTCGACTTTGCAACCTTGGAATGTCGTTACGTTCCTTCATTCGAAAAAAAAGAATTGAGATGTTGACTAAGGAAATATTGGCTCGAAAAACGTGGGTTTTCGCAAGGGTGTGCGATCTCGACTTCCGCGCGGTGTCATTTCCAGAAGCGATTACTATTTGAATCAGTTGTTTTCAAAAAGTAACAGGCCCGTTCTTCGATGAGTCCTGGTCAGCATGTCCTTCTATGCGAGCCAAGGCTCATGCATAAATGGACTTGTTCCCTTTTGAAAACGGCTGATTCATTTGCGATCGACGAGAGCTATCGAAGGCTCGTTGTGATGAGGAGCTTATCGACAAGGTCTGGGTGATGTTGCGTTTCGTCCGGTGATACAGCACTTCGCCTCGATCTTGACATCGCACCCGAGACGCGAGACCCCTAGACGAGCAACTCGGAACTCGGAAGTGATGGAACATTTGTTTCAACCTTTACTCATCATGCCTCCACCGCCCTCGGCATCCTTAATTTTTGGCCTTAACTCGTTTGTATAGCCACTTGCCGCTTGCCGCTTGCTCAAATCAGCCTCCATTAGACACCCTGCTCGAGAAGACTAGACTATGTCTTCAAAACGCAGCAGTGGCGTGGCGTGAATTGCGATAAATCGATTGTTATGCCATTTAAACCTATGGTAAAGAATCGATTATCAAGTTGTTCGCTGCGAACACCCTGTCTATCGATCATTTTCCATACACTGAAAAAAAAAGTAGCTCGGATCAAGCATGATGATTCTTGAATTTGCCGCCAAGAATTTTTTTTATCTTGCTTTAAGCTGACTTTTTCTTGATACAAGAAAATTAATGCTCGGGTTAAGCAAAAAAGTAGCTTATATTAACCAGAAAAATTCTTGATTTAAGAAGAAATACTTCTCGGCGGCAAATAAGATTCTTTTTTTTCCAGTGATAGGTTTAAATGGCATAACGATCGGTTTATCGCAATTCACGCCACGCCACTGAAGCGCAGAATAACAGAAACGATGCGCATGACGAACAGAAATTCAAAACGATAAATGTGATAAAACGAATGATGAGTTAGATGGCAGATCAACCGGAAAAATTATGATCCACGGGCGTCTATAGTGATAACGATTAGAAAGACAAAGAAAGCTGACAATGACAGCTCGAATGTTTTTATCGCGGTTTACTGGAAGGGAAGGAATCCTCGCTTACGTCAGGCGACAGATAACTGCACCAGCAAATCCACGCAATTACATAACGCGAGTGTCTTACGGACTGTGCTTCGAGTAGCAAGGACGCAATGCCAAGGATGCATCAGGATGCACTACACTGATGCGGCTTAGTTTGAGAAATTAAAATGATAAATGAGAGACTTGGAAGACAAGTTGATTGCAGTTTGCAAAAAGGAACCGGAAGCATTGCAATTAGGCTAAGATTGTGCATTTTCATCCTTTGCAATAAAATTACTGAAATCTTGAAAAAATATGAAATTTACATGGTAATTTTTGTGTTAAATTTACAGTTTTGAGCGAGTAAAATAGAAACTGTCAATGGATAATAAGATTTTTCTTCAAAGTCCAAAGAAGTTGCACAATTTTTGCTACACTGCAATGCTCCTGGTTCCTTCTTGCAAAATGCAATCCAAGTGGGATGAATGCAGTTTTTTTTCAAAAAATTAAGGTATAATGATTCCAACTTAAACCAGTCTTAATATATATCCTGTGGAAAGTCCACTGGTAAAATCCGTTTTTTAAGCATCTAAAAATGAGTTTGATCTTTCTCTCCGCCTTAAGGCTTCATGTAATTCTAAAACTTTAAACACGTATTTCTCGAAGTAGCAAAAACTGGACTTATCCCACTACTTGTCTTCCAAGCGCAAATATGTATGCATATCAATAAGGCAGTTCTGAATTGGGTAAAAACGAACGTTGCCGAAAAATTTCGCCTTTGTCGATATTCAGAGGCTTCGACAGAAATTATTGCGCTATCAGAGTTTTCCCCGAAAAACCCTCGTTTTAAAAAAAAAAATCGATTGTGATCACATTAATCTCCTTCTTTATTCTTGCTACCTCTCTCCTGCTCGTCCTTCTTCTCTTCATTTTTTTCTTCTCTCTTTCTCTTCTTTTATCCCCTTTTTCCCTGCCCTTTTCCTTTGGATCCGCCAATGTATCCATGTGGACGTTTACTTTCTGCCCCCCCCCCCCTCAAAAAAAAGAATAAAAAATCGATCTCCCCTTTCAGACTCAATGCAAACGGATAAGTTATTTATCGGGTAAATTCGTCGCTTTGGTCGCTTGGTTATAGAAGCTTTGTTATCAAAAAGAGCGAGAAAAATCATTAGGCATGGGTGTATCGGAATTTTTCAGCTCAAAATTTATTCGAGACAGCACGATACTCTGCCGGCAGAAAACAACACAACGCCACCGCTGCAGAATCTTATTTGAGCTAATTATTCGTTCATACGTCAGCCAGTTCAAAAAACACCTTACCAACTTTCGACTAGAGCATCGATTAACCGGCGATGACGGTTCGTGAACGAGAAATTGAGACTCAAAACTCAGAGCTGTTAAATCATCGCAATTTTTTTACGTGGCATTAATAATTGGCTGAGTTGATCTCCGTCGGAGCTCCTACTGATGCTGAACTAAAAAATTACTTTCACTTACAGAAGGTTAGGCGTAAAAAATTAAGTTCAACAAACTTATTATGCAACCATTAAAACGTAAAAAATACTTACATAATTACTTCAAATAAAAGCACTTTATTGCTCGAGGAATTTTTATAACCAGCTGGGCGACGCTTGGTGTCCTTCTATAATTCTATGTCTCAGCATTAGAATGTACTCGCATTGAAAGTAATTTTTCCGTTTCATTTGTGAGGTTTTTTATGCGATTTACTTTCATGGAAGCAAACAAATTAGAATCGATTCTTTGAGACCTGCGAACTATATTGCATTTTTTGTGAAGCTATACAGAGTCATTAAAACTTTTTTTAAACTGTTTTTGATCGTATAACTATCATTTCTTCATCCATCCCCTATTTAAAACTGTCTTGGTACAAGTTGGAAAATGTCAATACCAGCCAAGTATTTAAGTGCCATTAACATTTTATGAACGAAGTCTCCTCTTAAATCAACCGTGCAAAATTTTCATTTTTATTTATTTTCTGGGTAATTATATTGCTAAATGACCTCTGTTATTTGTGTGTTTCAGGTATTACCAGATGACGCTCACATACGAGTCAGCGGAAAACTCCATATCTCTTTGACCAGAGTTTACGATGGAAAAAATGTCATAGTATCTCAATTTAATAGTAAAGAAGACTTATTGCAGGTAAGTTTTACTTTTACACTGAAAACTCTCTAATCTTATAGATTTACCTATATTTAGCGTTGAAACTTCAAAATCATGCATCCTTATTGCCAGTAGCATAATTCGGGGTCTGAACTCCCTTCTCTATGACTAAAAATGTCCTCAAAAAACGTCATTTCTTGTGATTTTTAGGAATTGTTTACCAATGTACCTCTCATGAGAAATATTCGACGTAGAGTAGCCCCACCCCCCCCTTCCCTCTAAAAATATTTCGGGCTATGCCATTGCCTTTTGATATCGTCCAAATTTTTGGGCATGCTTCACTTTCTTCAAAGCCAAACACATCAGTAGGTATTTTGGCGTGAAATATTCGGTTTTATATCAGTTGTTTAATGGTAAAAACTGTAGTAAATGTTCGTCAAGTTTGATGATGATGGACGGAAATTTCCTAAAAGTTTGGGTAGCTGCTTTTATCAAATTCTCCTCGTTATTCGCAAGCAAAATCCTAGACATAGAGACAAAATTCTGCCTGAGCAATCACAAAAACGCTCCAAGTCAAGCCAGGTGTTGTATAACGAACAGACATTTCACATGCTTTTGCACATGATCAATAACGATAGAATTCTAATCAACGCCTCTGAACTGCACTCTGATAGAGATCAACCGTGACCCCTACATATTTCGAAGCAATTAAAAGTTCTCTCAACAAAGGACTTCATACATTGCACGTTTCAGTTTGTTTATTTTTTATGACATTGTCTTATTTGATTTGTTCAGCTTTTTTTTTTTTAATATTTACAATAGATTAGCCGTTGAACCCTTACTCACTTCGTTCCGCATTCCTTAACCAGGCGTAATACTATCTTTATCAGTACTCTCTGATTGATTTGCATTTTTACTCGGATCCTTATTAGTTTTATGTTCTCTTGAGGAACAAAGCATACCTACCATTGTAGGGCAGCTTGCTTTTGGTATTAAATTGTTTTATTTAGTTTTCTAAATAATTCTTGAATTTTCTGTTTTAGGCATTGATGGCAAGTGCATTCGTACCAATATTTTCGGGCTTTTTGCCGCCCCGGTTCCACGGTGTTAGATACATGGATGGTGGATTCAGTGATAATCTGCCAACTTTAGATGAAAATACCATCACTGTTAGTCCTTTTTGCGGAGAGAGCGACATCTGTCCACGTGATCCCTCTGCCCAACTATTTCATGTAAGTATCAGGCAATTTTTCATATTAGCCTCACCAGAAAATTAGATGGAAAAAAATGTCAAGAGGCGCATCGACGGTTTAAGTCGGCAATCACATAACTCGGTTTGTGACGTTGCAGACTTCCTATCATACTTTATTTTTTAAACGGAAAACTACTCAACGACAATTCTTTAAAACTGTCGTAATTTTTCTTCTCCATGTGAAGAAAATTCTACAAAAACTTCAAGGAATGATGTCCATTTGTTCTCCTTAAATAAAATATTATAGAGGCAGAGATTTTCAGACACCGCAAACGAGTTATGTGATTGCTGACTTACACCGTCGACATGTCTCAGAATGAACTAGTGATCAAAATGAAAATATGCAAGGCTCATGGCGCTTTTAATGCACTGTTTTGATTTTACTGTCCAGTGAATGTAATAACTTCAATCCAGGAATATAATTTGTTAGAAAGATGATTTCTTAATTATTATCAGACATTAAAACTTGGTAGTTGGGTGGATCCTTTTTTTTCTGTTAATTTAAAAGTTTTTACTCAAAATCTTTATTCCGCGACGAAGGTAACAGATTTTGAATTCAATGAACACTGACCAGAAATAAATAATACTTCCTTGTTTAATTGATGTTTGTAATTTGAATTGCTTGTGTTACAGGTAAATGTAGCCAACACTAGTATCGAACTCTCCAAACAAAATATCTACAGGTTTGCGAGGATTCTATTTCCACCCAAGCCAGAAGTGCTGTCGAATATGTGCAAGCAGGGCTTTGACGATGCGTTGCGATTTTTACATAGGAATGATCTAATCAGCTGCACACGGTGTTTAGCTGTCCAGTCAACATTTGTAGTTTCTGAAACAGTTGAAGAGAAATTCGACTATGATCCACAGTGTCCAGAGTGTAAAATGCACAGACAGGCAAGTATTCCTTTTCTTTGTTCCCAAAACTCTCATGCTGTTTTATTACTCTAATAAAGAGGTTTTACAAGCCCCTTTAAAATTTATATTCTAAGCACTTAATTTTTTAATCTAAAATGTCAAGAATTGTTTTTGCCTCAAACTCTAAACCAAATCTTTACTTCTGGAAAGTTAAGTGCTCATCACAAAATAACTAAGGGATGGCTATTCTTTAATTTTAAATTTTTGTACTTGCATTTGAACGGCAGACCAGAAATTATTTTCCTCTATCATACTTTAGAATTAAATGTATGGGGGACACACCCTTCTCTTAAGACGAGGTAATAAAAGCAATCATAAGAAACACAGAATTTAAACTCGTTCTTTGCTGAGCATGTAAACCATGAATCTTTTTAAAAAAAGTTTTTTGTCTTTTTCCTTTAAAGGTTTTTGTCTTATTCTTTTTTCAATTTTTTCTCTCGTTTTAATCTGTAGGAAGCATTAGTCGCCAATTTACCAGATACTGTAGTCATGCTGTTCCAAGATGCCATCGACTCAGCCAACAAAGGTCTCATTAACTGGATTTTCAAGCATCGTGGAATGAAACTCCTCTCTATCCTAAGTCTTCCGTATACCCTTCCTGCAGATATAGTCTATGCCATATTTGCCAAGTACGTATGCATTTAGCTTCGAACTATTTTTACTTGCCTTTTTGCTACAATTCGCCATTTGAAGACAAACTGATGAATTCAACTTGATAGGATCATTCTTGTCAACAGAATAAGTGACCAAATCAGAGGTTGACGTTTAATCTTTAACTGAAATGGAGGACAATATTTCTCTCTGGTTATTAAGACTAGAATTTTTCCCATATGTCTTATCTGTTTCTGTTTAAAAGTAGATTTTGATTCCGATTTAATAATTTCTTAAAGATACAAGCACCAATTTTGAAATCCTGCGGTGTTAGCCTCCCTAGAGCAGTTGAGAACATGAACCTCCATTCAAAAAATTGTAGACCGTAGGCGGATTGAAGATATCAAGCCTTGAGCCTTGATTGAAACTTGTGATGAGCCTAATTACTCAAAATTAGCCTAGTAGATTTCGAAATATAACTTAATCTACAAATTAACCTAAGTTGAACTAGGAAACAATGAAATTTTAGTGAGTTAGGGACCTCATAGTAATAATTATGTATCTGTGCATAGTACATAGAACCACTCTAGTATATGTACCTCTCAGTTAGGACTGTGTTTTTTACACAATTATCTGGTGCGTTTAGGTGTACTGCACTTGTTTTTATTAAAATTGTCTTGGTTCTTTTGCAGATTTATGAGGTCAGCGCCCCGCATTGGCAACAACCTCCTCCTCATTAGCAAGTTCCTGTTGGAGCAACTGTCCCTGTTCTTGCACCAGCTGAGCCAGAAAGGCGAGCAGATGAGCGCCAACATCTCGTGCCAGCTAGCTGTGTCGGAGTATGGAAGCAAGTCTGAGTCAACACACGACGTCGTCAAGAACAAGATGAACCTGAACTTCTCACTGAACATGGAGGATAAGGGCAAAGATGAGTGCGACATCTCAGGCAAGAAGTGCTTGTCGCGGAAGCCCAGCTTCAGTGTCAACCATTCATCAAACCCTGCTATCGATGACGACACCTTTGACCATATTCTGCAGGTCACAGCCCATCATGATGCACTCATGGCGTTCTACTACATGGACGAGAACAATAAGGTTAGATTTTGTGGATATTCATCCAAGTATTAATTCTGGCACAAAATGAAAACTATATCAACCGTTCAATGAGAGAGAGGCCTCAGTGCCACAAAATTCAAAAATTTAAATATTGATACGACTGCTGAAACGCATGCGTAGACTGACAATTTCATTGGATCTTGCGGTGCCTGGATTTTGTAATTATACATTCAAAAATTAGTTACTTTGAATACTTCAAAATAATCTTGAACTCTTTCCTTGAGGTTGAAAATTGAAATGACAATCATTTATCACAGTTTTTTGAGAAAACAGGAAAGAAGTGAGTTGAAATACTTTTATATTGTTGATTTATTGCTGACAAAATGACGAAAATTTTGAAATGAGCAAAAATCAGGAAAATTTAAAGTTATTGGCACAAAAATTAATTACTAGGTTGTTGTAACGAGAAGCACAGAAAAGCAAGTATTCTGTCAAAAACTTGACAAATTATTCAGAGGAGCTTGGTTTTCCAAATTTCCCTCCTTAAAAATTTGCCTTCTTGCTCCAAATTTTTTTTCCCCGGATGGTGACTAATTTTTCAGCAGAAAATGAATCTTTGTCAATCTGTTGCGAATGGATTCGTTCTCAGAATTTATTTGAAATTTTCACTCTATCAAACATTTCTTGTTGAGTATATTTTTGTGAAGCTAATGGATTATTTTTTTTATTTCAGGTGAAAGTCACAGAAATATTTGACGTAACTGAGGCTGATGAAAACGCAGAGTCAAACAACGTGACCGAGCTGAGAGAACAGACTGACGAAACTAGGATACTAATGGATGAGGATGATTGCGATGAGTGGGGTGATGAAAATGAACCCCTCGCCAATGCATGGGTTACGTCTAACAGTGAAGAAGGTAGGTTCGACAAAAGTCTCCCTCTTCCTCTTAACCCTTCACAGACTACCTGAATTGAGAGAGGATTTTTTTTCTTTCTTTTAATCATTTGTGATTGTAATCAAAAATTGATGAATGAAATTGCATCTAGTATCAAATATTGGAATTATCAAAATAGTATCAGGGCATCTTTTTGCCCTGCATTCTATAAGGGATCCAGTAAAGAAGATAGATTTCTGTATAGAGTAATTTTTTCAACTTGTGTTGGAAAAGTAAAATTTGAATATTTGATGCATCTACTCTTTAGTGTCCTAAAGAATAAATTGCGAAGTATTCAGCTCATTTTTCTGACGCCAGAAGTAACAAAGGCACATGTTAATCAGGTTTTTTAAGGACCAGACACAGTGAATTGCTCTTCTTTAAAGAAAATATTTTGAATTGAAAATTTCAAAATATCAAAATTGTGACTTCTTTCAACATCTTTTGATTTTTTTCTCTTTCCACAAAAATGTTTGTAAAATACTTCTCTGAGTAGTTGCTTTAAATTGCTATTTTTAAATTTTTGAAACTAATTTCTCTTTTATTGTGGACGGTTTCATTTACTGTCATTAATCAACTAATTTATTCAGTTTGCATTTCTCATTATTGACAATAAACTTATGTTGGATAATAGGATTAGACGGCTATGATGCAGAGGACGACAACAGTGTGAGCTCTCTGGACGATGCCGATGACTATCGCCGCGAAATGAGCACGATATTCTCTGACGCCGAAAGTGAGTGGAGGGAAAGCAACCAGACGCCTTTGACGAGACAATACAAATCAGAATCTAAGATCAGAATCGACTCGCGCCCCGAGTCAGACCAAAGCTCCAAAAGCGAAACTAGTCGCCCAAAGAAAACTTCGTACTGAGCGGAAAACTGTTCTGCGCATCCTAACTCTTGTTTTACTTAATTTTTTGTTGTGTTTCTGGTCTTTTTACTGAAATCATTACCATTCATGGGATCTGTTTTATTTCATCACTTGTAACAAACATGTTTGATGCAAAAGAGGGTTTATTTTGCATCCATTTTTCCTCAAAGAGTTCTTCTCAAAGATAAATTGTTATAGATAGATACAAATCATCAAGAATTATAAAATACTCTGCTGAAATTGTAGTTTTGCTTTGATTTACAGATAAATTTAGATATTTTTTTTAGATTTTGCAAATTTTCTGTTGATTTTTTTCATTTTAAGCCCTCTTTTGCATCGAATGCATGAATTGACACTCGTGTAACATATTTTACTTTTTGGATTTAAAGCCCTCTCTTGCATCAGACGCATGAATTGACACTCGTTTAACATTTCTTGTTTGTATTATTTTGCGGTTTAATTGACCTGTAGCAATTCTAATGAATTTTGTAAGTTTGTTCCTTGAGAATTTTCCTTACCAATATTTTCCCTGTTATTGAATTTTGTCCACCAGATTCCCCATTTTTCTTCACCACTTTTGTGTGGTGTTTTTTAATCCCTGGTATTTTTTATTGACAATTTTTTCGTTGTTCAGTTTTTTGGATTCACTCGGTACATATATAAAACATTTTTTTGACGATTGATACTTTAGTGTTTTCCACTACTGACGGCTTAGTCATTTTCCATAAACATGCTCTTTTCCTTCCTTTCTTCTAAAAACTATTTAAAAGAAAATATGCAGTGTAAAGAAGAAAGAAATAGGGAAAAAGAAAACTGAATCATGTCCAATTATTCTGCAAAATACATATTCTCCTTGCACTATGCAAAAGCCTAATCACAGCTTGAAAAATTAAACACATGATATATAAACTCATTATTCCTGACCAATGACTGAATTACCAACTTTCTCGACTGTTTTTGTAAATATGTATATTTTTGTAATTTGTGTTGTTTATCAAGGCATTTTTGAGATTTTTTAGTGATTCATTCATTGTAGATCTGAAATATCGCCTTCATCTTCTCATCGTTGCCTTCGATGGGAACAATGATTTCAAAACCCTGTTTCATTTTAAGTTTGACCAAATTCATCCCTTGACTTAAATCCTGAATCCATAGTCCCCTTGCTTTCGTACTTTTTTAGAGTGTTTTTTAACCAAGAGCAATATCATTTCAAAATTTTCTGTATTGTATTGGTCTCGTCAAAACGCCCTAATTCAAAACTTCGAAAACAGTATTTCATTTTTGGAGTCTCAATCAAGGTATTGAGAACCAGAATAGCATTTTCCTGTTTCCTTTACCCTCTGTTTTTCACTCTATCCGATTCTAAAAAGTTTTTAGAATTGAACGCTTCAAGTATATGCACATTTTCTGGACCGATCGGGTTGTGAAGTAAGAACTCAAATTTAAGAGTTTAACCATTGAAAAATACATATTATCATGTAGAATATTGTAGTAATTGTTTTGCCCTTAATATTGAGGTTTGGACAGATTTATTGCGCTGAAGGTCCATAAAAAGAAATTGGGTACTGTATTTAAGTTTTCAGAACTGGTAGAGAAAGTTTCGGAGGATGTTCATCAATCAATCATTCATTACCTTCAATCAATATGTTGTCCTCTGCATAAAGATATGTAACTTTTTCAGTACTTTTTATCAGCATTTTACTTTTTCATAGGAAAACTGTCGCATGAATTTGGCTGAAATTTTCTGTAATTTTTCCTTACTTTTGTAAGAATAGATCCTAAAATTTTCAGAAGAATTCACGTAACAGTTCCTTTATGAAAAAATGAATTCTTCAATGGAATACTGAAACAGTGCGACCCAAGATCCGTTTCTTCGTGCAGTAGACATAAAGTAATAGCAAGACCTGGCTTTGGAATTTTATTTTAACTCTTGTATTTGTGATAAGTCTCTTTAAGTGCCAATTTAGATGATGTTATGCATGTTCTTGAATAAACAGTCATGTCTCATGAATTAATTTATTTGTCCTCTCGTAAGTTACTCATTAATTTGAGGCTTGTTGTAATTTTAAAACTATTCATTCGTTTATTTATTTGATCCATGATCATTTTAATATTGTGATAAGTTGAAAAAATGTATTTTGCTTGTTTTCATCTCATGATATAGTCTTGTCAGTTTTGCATCGTAAAGTTTATCATTGTTATATCATTAATTTATTTATTTTTTTGTAAGAGATGGAATAGATCTATTTTGTAAATTTGATTCGCCCTGTTAGTACTATTATTGCTTTTTTAAGCTTTCTTCTTATTCAGTATGTACGTCTCCCTTCATTTTTATAACTGTTCCTAATTCGTTCCTCCCATAAAAATAAGTTGATTGTCATAACAATCTTACATGATAATGTCTTTCACAATGACTCTTAAAGCGTTCAATCTTGAATATCTAAAATGTCCATAATGTATCAATTTTTCAACAATCTTGACCTCTTTACTTTAACTCCATAACGCAAAAACAGGAAAGTTTGTAACTGTCACTTTTCAAAAACATTCTTTTTCAAAAGTCTTTTTATTTTTTTCTCTGTTAATAGTTTGATGCTGATTGGACAATCGTTGTTATTATTTAATTTTTTTTTCTTTACATTTTAAATCTTTTTACCATTCCAAGAAAGTCTGTGATTATTTATTGAGATTTTTGAATAAGAAGAAACAAATAGGTAATGAATACTAAGTGAATTATGTTTTAACAGATAAATCTTTTTTTAAAATACCCTTCCTTTGTTTTTCTTTTCATTTCATATTTTCCTCTTCAATGACGTACAGTTTACCTCTATTGGCCAAGGCCCATAGCTTTTTCTGATTTACTTTAATAATGTTAAAACTTTTTTTTTTATTGAACAAGTCAATCAGATAACTTTTGACATAAAATGTTCCATATGATCAAGTACATATTGCCTCTTTGGGAAAATAAATTTTTCCCTGCTTCATCATCATTTTTTTTTCACTATAATTTTTGAAATCATTTTAGAGAGAACGCCTTGAATGAAATAGCCCTTGAATCACTTTTCTCAAATAACTTCAACTTTTTCGTCAGTTCGTATTTTTACAAAACAAAATTATTGTTACCAGCAGTCTCGGCTTCCATGCATTTGATGGGCTATCTCTATGTTAAGAATACAATAGCTTTTACAGATAGTTGAGTGTGAGAAAGTTGATTTTCCCTCACACTATTTGTATCTAGAGAATTTATTCATGGTGCTTAATGTCAACCTAAGTTCTTACAGAAAAGTACCATGTCCATTCACAAAAACTCCAACTTGCAATGAGGTAATTTCATATAATTTTGACTGAAATTATATTTGGCTTCAGTCATGTTGAAAAAATCCCTGAGATAGCTCTGAATCACTCAAACAATTTGTTAAATGATCGTCAGATCCAAGAAGAAAAGAGAAGGAGCTGTATCGACTAAAATTTTACGCACAGAGGTATCAAATTACTGGAGCAGACTCCTCCCCTTTCACATGTGCACTTAAACTGATAATGATAAGATAAGCAGTTAGTTCATCAAGTTTCAGTGAAGAAGTTTATTCTCTCTTCCTCGCTCCCAAAATTATTTGGTTTTCATGGACCTGTTTACTTACACATGCTTATTTTTTTTCTATTTCGCCATCGGCTTGGGAAAAAGGTAGAGAACTTGTTGGAGCTCATTTTTTTTTTTTTTTGACTAATTTCCTGAAAATACGTTTCGTTTTGACATTATTACACTTCAAAAAATTTTTACGGCTGCAGTATCATTTTTAGGTCTGATTAATTAGTAGCGCGAAGAATGATTCAGTCCTGATGTAAGAATTGAATTTCGCGCGAGTACATATCGCATATCCAATGATGCTGATAAAGGGCTACAAAACGCCACTAGGTGCAGAGACTATCTCCCGTGGCCTTAGTTGAGAAAATGTACTGGTCGCAAGGATTGTGGCCCTCCAACTAATTAATTATGTAAAATGCCAGTAATTTATGGTTTAGGCATTTGTGTTTAGCGGCATTCAAATAATTATATTTCTTGTCCAATATACTTGATAACTGGAGTATTTTCAGTACTTACGTTGGTCATACTTTTTACCATATAGCGAAGGAGGTTATGTTCATTTGTTTACATTATTAGCGACATGTGAATGTAAATTACAAAATTTTTTCCCGAGTCTTTTCTCCGTCCCCCAAGTCGTGAAATGAGATGTTACGCATGTATAAAAGCTCTGAAGTAAACTATCCGGATATTTTTTAATGGTGTATCTCATTTTCATGTGTTGTCATCTCTGCAAACGCTCAATATGATTATTAATTCACTACATACATGTCTGTGTTGAAGTTGATATCAGGTTGTAATTTATCTATCCACCCTCACATTCAATACTATTTAACACATTTTACATAATATATCAATTACAATCATATTTTTTAAGATGATTTCTAAAATGCTATGCTCGCAAGTTTTAAGATCACGGTTTTATCAATCAGCGCCAATTCTATCCAGGTTTTATACAGTAGACTCTGTCATCACCGAGTGGTCTAAGAAATTTCAAGAAGCTGGGATACCAGACCCTGAAAGCTCTGTTAGAAATATTGTTGCTCATGTCCTGAATTTACCGAAGGTAAGTAATCAATCACCTAGGTAAATCTTGAGACTGTAATCTTTGCTCAAGTCAGCTTTGATTTTAAATTTAGGTATGTCCTAATGGAGGGTATGGATTCGATCGACATGAATCGATCGAAAAATGAAAACGTGAATCGATCGATACCGATGCAATCGACAAATTATTAAAAAAATCGGTGTCGATTTGATGGACATGAATCGATCGAAAAATGAAAACGTGAATCGATCGATATGAATGGATTGACACCGATTTGATCGACAAATTATTAAAAGGCCGGCGCCCATTCGATCGACATGAATCAATCGAAAAATTAAAACGTGATTCGATCGAAAAATTAAAACGTGATTCGATCGAAAAATTAAAACGTGATTCGATCGACAGTTCATTTTAAAACACCCGTATCGATTCAATTGACATGAATGGATCGAAAAATGAAAACGTGAATCGATTGACAAAATTCGATTGACTCACGGGTTTGCCGATCGACTCACGGGTTTGTCGATCGACTCACAGATTTGTCGATCGAATCACGAGTTTTTCGATCCATTCATGGGTTTGTCGATCCATTCACCGGTTTGTCGATCCATTCATGGGTTTGTCAATGGATTCACGGGTTTGTTGATTGATTCATGGTTGTCAATCGAATCACGTTTTAATTTTTCGATCGATTCACGTCGATCGAATGGACACTGGTCTTTTAATAATTTGTCGATCAATTCATGTTGATCGATTCTCGTTTTCATTTTTCGATCCATTCATGTCGATCCAATCCATACCTTCTTGCACTAATGTGCTGAAATTGTAAATGCATACCTACCTCATTTGCAAAGACTCATACAGAAAAGACATGATGGTCCATTGAAGGTCATTGTGAAAATTTACTGAAATACTGACTTTGACAGATGGGTGTCAGCCAATGATGAATACCGCCATGCTAAGGAGAAACAGTGTATAAGCCTTCAGATATTGCCATATTTCCTTCAACCAAAGTCAAATTTATCGAAAAAATTGTGGATATTTTTTTTTAAACTTTTCAGACAGTTTAGTTTGCGATTTAATCCAAAATGTTCGAAAATTTCAAGGAAAACTATGTAAAACTTTCCTCAAAAATACATGTTTTATTTGAGGAAATTTGGCAACTCTTGAATGCTCATACAGCGTTTGCTTTATGACGGCAGGATAAGGACACTACTTACTCTTGGTGCTTCTTTTCTTTATATGGCTGGTAAAATGAGGAAGACACCAGCGTTTTTTGTGACTTTTCAAACTTTTCGGTCTCTTAAATTTTCCTTTAATCCATTTTTTAATTTTTTAAGACAACGTAAGTAAAATATTAGCATTCCAAGTAGCCCTATATAAACAATCTGTTTTCACCCACGTTTTCAAGTGGAAACTTTTAGACCCTATTTAATATTGCAGCAACCTAACCATTTATTTTAAGAACTTCATTACTTCAAAATGGGTTCCTTTGCTTAACTTAATGATACCTAATGTTTTGTTTTCCACAGCTTGGAGATATATATTTGAAGATGGACGAGAATCTGAAGGAGAATCAATATGAAAAATTGATACCCTTGTTCGAATGTCGACTCGCTAGGTTGGTCAATAAAAATTAATGCAAATTTTGTACCTAGCTCATGGAATCTAATGCTATTACCTATTATTCCATATATTATATTATGCTATGTAATTCCAGATTGATAGCTGATTAGGAGGTCAGCACCTTCCTAAGTTTTTAACTCTAGAATACGTAGCTAATTTAATTTCAGAATGTGTCATAACATGAATAAGTCATATATGGATCCTTGGTAAAACTAGAAATTCATGCATCTTTCTTGATTTTCAACAATTCTTTTTTCCTTGTACTTAAATTATATTTTCTCTAAAGAAAAGTAATACCTACCCATTTATTTCCTTCCCTTTGGTTTTCAAAATCGTTAGTGATTATTTTTTACCCGAAAAATATTCTAAAAATACAATCGTAAAATTCTGATAAGATTTTGTCCTGAAGAAATAAAATAAATCTGAAATTTTGCAACACTCCATCAAGGCTCCTAAACATTCTCCAAGTGTCGCCTTTTATATGCTGACACTAATAAAATTCTGACAGCCTGTCAAACATTAGGCTCTGGAAAGTAGAACCTAAACAAATAATTAAAAGCTGGTGTTAACGTAGGATAATTTTATTTTTACAGAATGCCAGTACAGTACATAATCAAAGAGTGGGAGTTTCGAGACCTACGTCTGAAGATGGTACCACCAGTTTTCATCCCAAGACCAGAGACAGAAATGCTCATCGACATAGTTATGAATAATTCTCCCGCTCTCAATAGTATTCTTGAAGTTGGATGTGGGTCTGGGGCAATTTCCATCGCCTTGCTGAGGTCTAATAGCAATGTAAGTAATGTTCAAGCCTCTTCACCAACAAATCAGTGATGCGTCCAAACCATCAGTTGGAGAAAAACTTGTCCATTTTCATGCCACAAATAAATTGCTGCTAGTGTGTTGGAAATAATAAATCACAAAAAAAGAAAATTCCAGATTTTTATTTTTTATCTTGTTTGCAAGCCTGCCTTTAATTTAAAAGTTCTCTTTATTTTAAAATCAAAGTGTATTTATTTCTTCCACAATTGTTGAGAAAGGTAGATGAATACGTCGTTCATTCTAATGAGAACGCACTTTTAACAAGGCGCCAACATGTTCTGCCAGAATTTTAATTAAGTTTTGTAAGAGACCTTTCAACTTGTAAGTTCTAATTTTGAAACCTATGCGCAGAGAAATTGAAGAGACTAATAAAGTACAGAATTTTAACTAGTGCTGAATAACTTTGACAAACGTCACTCATTCTCTATAAAATCTAATTCATGTTTTACTGATTAAAATAAGTTTCCTGAATATTTATCTTTTTCAGCTCCAGAGCATTGCGATTGACCAAAGTGAAAAAGCCTGTAAGTTAACCAAAGAGAATGCAGATTTGAATGAAGTATCCGGAAGGTTGAACGTGCTGCATGCTAAATTGACAGTAGAGGGAGGTTTTCAGCCAGCAAGCAGTGAAAAATTTATTTTCGATCAAAAATTTGATGTCATTGTCAGCAATCCTCCTTACGTCCCTTCCTCAGAAGTTCTTACTGTGGAGCCAGAAATATATCTGTAAGTAGGCCTTAAATTCTCTTCTGTATGTTCTCCTCAAAGGTCTGAACATTCATTTCCTCGTGGTAGTAGTTTGTTTTCCTTGAAGAATAATCAAAGAAGGCGAATCAATCCACCGTGAAGTACTTCTGACATGCAAGATAATAAGCCACTCTCCTTTACAAATTTTTGCATCATTAAAATTTATTTTAACAGACCCATCTGATTTTTTTTTCACAGAGCCAATATTCTTGTTGAGCCAAGTTTCATCTAAAAAGACAGTACTGTCCCAAGCCATTTGCCAGATAGACCGTAGGAAGGAGCACTTTAATAAAACTATTTCAGGTTCCCCTATCATCATTAGAATCATGAATCATGCGATTATTAAGTTTTTGGTACGTGAAATTTGTTTTTTACAAGTAGAGATGGAGCCTTTATTAGGCCTTTGAATGGCCTTTTTTTTCTGCTGTTTAATGGCTTTGTGAATGGCCTTTTTAAAGTACCGCTGCCTCTAACAACAACTCACAACCACATCGAGCATTGTATTCAAAATTACAAAGTATATGTATTATAACATAATCTTCAAAGAAAGAGTATAGTAATACACTTTTGTTGTCCTTATCATCCAAGCACTTAAAAAAAGGTTTTCATGTTTGGCTGTGTGACATCTAATCATCCTTTAGAGACGTACAGCTTTCTCAATAGCCAGTCATACAAGCCTTCTGTTTCTTTTACAGATATGAGGATCTACGAGCATTAGAAGGTGGGAAAGATGGACTTAAAATCATAAAACCGCTTTTAACTGCAGCTTCAAAACTTCTGACAAAGAACGGTCTGATATTTTTGGAAACTCACTACCATCACTCGAAGCTGATCTCTGACTGGATCAACCTCAACCCATCTCTTAACCTAGAGTTTGTTCAAACCTTCAAGGACTTTTGTGAAAAAGATAGATTTGTTCAAATTCGCAAAATAAGTTGATAGTGGTTTATTTTGAAGTTCTCGTGAGCATAATTGTTTTTTTGAAAACGCACTGCCATGAACCATTGGCTGTAACATTGGTTCAGTAAGTTCTGAAGTTCCTTAAAAGTGTGTTTTGATGGTGGTGTTAAATTGTTACATCCTGAACAGACCAAATTTGGTATCAGGAATTGGATGATTCAGAGTCGCTGAGAGACTAAGTCCGAGTATCATGCGAGTATCACATGGATCAATGACGCCATCATCCCAGAGCCTGGAAAAAAAAATGATATCTCTCAGTCCTTCTTTCAGTCATTTATAATTGAGGACACCGCACCAAGAACAGCCTATAGGCGTATAGGTCGTTATTACACCCATCTGCTTTTCGGATTCTACGTACCCTGGACTATACTGCGGTAGCGATAGAATATAGATAGGTAACGGCTCGAGGTTGAAAAACCTTTTTTTTCCGAGTTAAGTCAGGCCTCTGAATCGATGGGTGCAAGAACGACCTATAAACGGGCCTATAAGGTGCTAGTTACCCCTTTCTTTACTCACTATCGATATTCTTTCATTTTGCATTAATCATGCGTGATTAAAATGATTTATACTTCATATTGCCACCAAAATGACTGTTGGGCATAATAATGGCCTATAAACCGCTTTTTTAAATTAAATATATTAGAGTGTAAACCCAAAATGTATCGCAAAATCTACCCGGCATCCTTCAATAGAGGGGCTAGGTCACCCAAAAACACCAAAACAGGGTACCTGCATAGAAAAGTCTGCGCAGTACATCAAAAACAAAACTTTAAATGCGTTTTTCTCAAAACGCGGTTTCCAGTTATACACTGTTCTTGGTGCGGTGTCCTCAATTGTTAATTTAAGTCTCAGTATTTGTTCTGTGAAAATGTGGAAATTTAGATCAAAAATGGGCGAATCATGAACTCTACTGACCTTGCACTGGAGTAATACGGGCTGCTTTCTTCCTCAATTTTTTTGATGACTGGCTCCTTTATTTTCCTCTCCATTTCAGGCCACTGAAAAAAAAGAAGTTTGGTAAACAAAGTTAGTCCAAAAAAAAAAAAAACAATGAAAAGGGAGTTGAGAAATTATGTAGTCACTAATTACTTAAAGGAATGATGTCAGTTAAAATTAGTGAATTAAACTCCATATTCAATTCAGGAAATATTGTCGGCAAATTCTCTTCATCAAAGCTTTTCAATTTGTATGATTTCAAATGCTACAACAAGTTTGTATACTGTAAGAATATTTGGACCATGTTTTAACAGAAACACACCCAGTCCTATTTTGGAACAAAAATGAGTTTGGAATAGTTTTGCATTATGCAAGTCGTAAATTTTCTCCTGTCAAAAACTTAAAGTCGAGGGAAAATATGTTAAAGTAAAATTAGTCTGTAAACTTTGTCTTCAATATTGAGTCTCTTTTAGGAGTAAAACTTCAAACCCATTTTTCTTGGTTCCAACTTGATGTGACTTGGTATTTAAGTTAAACTTGGTCCATTCAGTGGAGGCTCCCCGTTTTGATTTATTTATTTTTCAATTTCTAACTAGAAAAGTCCAGAAATCAGTAAAAGGAAACCTAACTTCTTTCAAGATTTATCAAAACATATACTCAACATCAATTTGAATTGATACTTTGACTGTACGCAGAGTACGCTCTACTATTTTTTCATGTATTCTCCTTAAGTTTGTATCAAATCACAAAATATATGATTATAAGTACAAGTAATTTTTTTCTGTCTCTTTATTTTTATGTTACCTCTAATTCGTTTTTAGTACTTCATCAGCTCAAAAACCCTTTATACTCTTCGAAAAATGTAGAAATTGTTACAACCCTAGTAGCATAACCATAGAAGGAAAAGATAAAGATTATGTACGAAAGTTAATTTTTTTAATAAAATGCATGCATATGAAAGTGTTAAAAGTGAACATTTTTATGTAACCATTATAAAAAAAGGCATAATTTTCGTGAGCTTTTCGCAAACATACTAAGAAATCTTCTAATTCGCAAAAAGCTCACAAAAATTATGATCTTTTTTTTTATATGATAGGTACATAATAATGTTCACTTTTAACACTTTCGTATGCATGCGTTATATAAAAAATAAAAACATTGTCCATAAAAGAAATTACCTTATCTAGCTTTTATCATTTTTCATATATTATGGTCAGGTCTGAACTTTGATTTTTTTTTATATATAAGCATTACACGTTTTTTTATATAAAGCTACCATTTAGGTACCTAACCGATATGTTTTGTTTATACTTTTTTTAGAAAAACAAAAATTTGTTCTGCTACTAGGGAACTCGGAATTTTCCTTCAGAGCATATAAAATAAGAAATTGGACTCAATTTTTCAATTAGGAACTACTGTTTCCAGCTCACATTAGGAACGACGTATGGATAGTGAAAGTGAAGAAGTGCTTTTCTCAATTTTTGACAGTTGAGTTAGCTACATATGACAAACGTGTTGTTGATGATGTCATCTATAAATTACCTGTAAAGACGTTAATAGCCTGAGTCGCTGAATGTCTCTAAATTATAATAACTAACTAACTAACTCTATCTGTCAGCAAGAGACTATAATAAAGAAAAATCGGGAAGTCACTTAAAACCGTAAAGCTTTTTTAGCGTTTCTCGGGCTGAAGTGCAGCAATGCTTATCTCGTTCTGGTCCTTTCATTTGATCCGGCGCGCGGCAGCCTCTGGGGGTTGGGCTTCGTGGATGTCAGGAGGGGCATCCCCCGGGGAATGGGCTCCTTGGATGCCAAGGGCGGGGGCAGTCCCGGAGGTTTTCTTCCCTAAAAAGCACGAATCACATTGCTGCATTTTGTACCCTGTTACCTGGGTCTATGATTCGCCTTCAATTGGGCGGGTATGCAAAATGACTGTCGTAACGCACGAATAGTGGTATCAGAATTTCATATTAAGATTACATATTGGGTTGAAGGCGCTCTTCCGTATCGTACCTGAGTGGCCCTGTGCAACGATGTTGACCAGAAATGTTTAGAATTTTGGAGTCTTAAGCCGAGCCGTAATTTTGAACAATCCCTCAAGAACATTATTGCACGTTCCGAGATTTTTTTTTTTTTTCTGCAAGTCTTATTTAAAAAACAAGTTCTAAACAGGTTTTAAGTATGAATAAACTCTATTTTTGCTCTTATTGATCAAGAGCAGGTTCAAAACGCTATTCACGGAAATAAGTATCTCGTGATGTAATGTCATTTTCCAATCATGCAATGCTTGATTTGGCCGTATGAGATCAAACTGGAGCTTATCCGATAAGGAATTATAAGCGTGAAACTCTTTTTTAAGTCTTAAAATGTTCCAAATCCGCCCACAACAGATTTAAAACACTAATTGCATAAATGAGAGTCTCGTGATGAAGTGTCAATTCTTAGTTCCGAAAACGCGAATTTCGGCATTTCTACCTTATTTTCTAACAGTTCGAGAAATTATTTAAAATGCTGATGGAGTCTGAAAGAGCATCTTAACCTTGCTGTCCTCAAAAAGTATTACCCTTCTACTGATAATAGAGAGGGATGTAGACAGTTTTTTTTACTCTCCTCGAAAATCGTGTTTTCCGAGATACGCACTTCTGCACTTTCATCATCGTATTATCGTTGCGTTGTGTCCGTGCGGGTAGGGGATCGATATTTTAAGTTGGATGAGGTGTATATATATTCAAACGTTGCAAAATCTCCGATTATAAATTTCATTATAATTGTAAGAGACCAATGGAGTAAAATATCTTCTCTATTTGTTCTGCAAATATATTTGAGGAAATCACAAAAATTCAAAGAGAAACTTTACAGTGTCTGAGTTTGAGAATGCTCTGTTCGGATGCAAAAATCATAAATCCAGTTATAACGTAGAACCAGTTAAAATCAAAAGGGAGTTTCTAGAAGACTCTACTTTGGAAACTACAGTTAGAATGAGAAGACCCTTGAACACAGTAGAATAACTAAAATGTAAACGCGCGTCTTTTTTTTATTACATCGCTGATCTGATCCTTACCTCATTTTCGGGTAATCCAGCTTTATCTCGTTGCTCTTTGGTGATTTGTGCCAAAACCCCGGCTGCTTGCTCTCCGCCCATGACGCTTATTTTTCCACTCGGCCACATATACTGAAACCGCGGGCTGAAATCACGGAAATTCAAAAATAGCACGCATAAAATTAAATTGCTGATTTGACAATTTAATTGCTAGAAAAAGTGACTGCAATGTTTCAACATAGATTTTACAACAAAAAAATGCTACTTCCTCAAGGTTAAAGTACCTTTTTTGTGTTGTAAAATCTACATTGAAACATTGCACTTTTTTAAGCACTTGAATTGTTAAATCAGCACCCTGGTAAAAATTGGCAGTAGAATCTGTGTTCCAAAATACCATAGACCTACAGCCGGCTGTAAGATTTCCAATAGCTTCTATAGCCGGCAACACAATTTTTTATAGCCTTTAATAGCCGATGGCGATTTAGCAACAGCCTGGCGATAAAGTGTATGCTAAACGTTACTAATTACGGAAGCTAGGACTTGGTGAGTTTTTGGACTACCGCTCTCTTTTTGGGCCGCAGTATCTTGATTTAATTTGCGAGGAAAGCTCTGTTCTTTTGAAGGATTCCTGCCATTCCTAATATGTTGGAGCGCCTTCAATTTCGTATGATACCGTGCAATACCTCTGGTGTGAAATAGTTGCTTCAAGCGCCGCGGTACGCTGCGGCGCAGACAGCCAGCGCTTAACGCGCACTGGCGCCTACAAACCTAACAGGGAAACTTCACGCATTGCGCAATGCTTGAAGTATCCCTGTTAGGTTTGTAGGCGCCGATGCACCGCCGCTCCGATTTGTGTTTGGCTCTAATATTTAATCTCGCGGAGTCAGTGTTTTTCAACTCATGACTTTGAAATGTTTGCACACTCTGTACCTACCTATGGATTATTCTCATTTTAATTGATGAAAAAAAATATGTAGTAAAGGAAAATATAATGTAAGTACGTTTTGTAAATATTAAGGTGATTCCGTACAAAATTTCGGATTTACAAACCACAAGAGTTTCTACTCAATTTCTTATAGCCTTTTATAGCCGATGGCGAAAAAGGAACAGCCAGGCGATAAAGTGTAAAGCCCGGCGATAGGAACCATAGCCCGGCTGTATAATTTATTATCGCTTCGTGTAGCCCGGCCGTATGATTTTTTCCACTTTCTAAAGCCAGCTATATGATTTTCTATCGCCTTCTTCAGTCGGCTGTAAGAATTCCTAAGGTATTTTGAAACGCAGCTCCTATCACCAATTTTTACCAGGGCAATTTAATTTTTTCCGTGAGGTAATTCCACAATCTTCCAAAGTGAAAAAAAGTTTTCAACATTTCGCTGGTTAGAGTTCCGGAACAGGTATCTCAATTGCGGCGACTCGAAAATTTCTGCTAGGTATGTCGTTCAATTTCTTCAAACAAAAACTAATGAGCAAAATTCCTTGAAATATCAACCGAATATTCTTAGCACAGGGAAGAAGAAACAGGAACAGTTTCAATAAATAATGTTGTAGATCTCTCCTGTAAGAATATAAAATGCACGGAGAAAATTGCAATGTCGCAAATCGAGGTTCTATTTGCTGCCCTTTAATCAGCGATTTTTCCCCATGGGGTGAGTTATGAAATCATGCATGGTAAAAAGTGCGAATGGAAAATATGAAGGACTACCGTGCGCTACCTCTACGTAGTACAGATTGTATACTTCAGTAGTATAGATTGCAATTGTACCGGAGTATAAGGTGTGTTATATATTCACTGATCGGAGCAGTTCCACCTGTTGAAATTTATTGCGATAAAATTTAAATTAACTGCAATTTTTTTTTTTCGTCGAAAATTTCTTCACGCGCGGAACGCATTTTATGGATAGGTAATTTAAAACAGGCATTTATTGACCAAATTTTGTAAAAATACTGCGATTTCGTTGTAAAGAAAAAAATTGCATTTAATTGCTAAATTATTTGAATATTTTCGTTGCATTGCGCTTCTTTGAAAACGCATGATGTTGCCGGAATTGTGATCTAAGAATCTCTTTCCAATAGTATCCCTTACAGAGATTTGAAGTGTCACATGGACTGACCTACCTCATACATTTTTCGGCATGAGTATCCAAAACTTTTATATGATCATCCTGTGAACATTTGAACGGAGTTAAACAGAAAGGAACCAAGCCACACCGGGATCGAACCGAGAAAAAGAGGCTTAAAGTTTAGCTCCTGCATAAGACTCAATGTAAAAGTTAAACTTCAAGTTCAATGTCTGCAAAATTTGCTCCAACAAAAGCTTAGAATTTTTGGCGATAGATAGTAGAGCAGTGGCCGAGTCCAAAACCACTCATAGCTCAATTTTTTCCAAAATGTGGGTTGGTTCCTTTCTGTTTAACTCAGTCCATTTATAGTGCTGATCAACTTTTTGGTTTTGGCGGAAGCGATTTCGGTTCAAATTCCTCCTACAAAAAAGTATGACTGAAATTCTTACGCGAATCCTACCTGTAACTTCGTCCAGACATTCCATAGTACCCAGCTCCATGTGCACCGCCAATGATGAGAGTGAGCTTTGGCACCTGCGCGCAAGAGACTGCTGTCACCAATTTGGCGCCGTGCTTTGCAATCCCACTTGCCTCTGCCTCTCGACCAACCATGAACCCTTGGATTTTAAACGAAATTAATACATGTCATTTTTACCTCAGCCGCTCTGTTTAACAATGACGCATTCCTTACCTCATGCACGAAGGAGCTTTTTCAAATGGACGGAAGTAACCAAAATCGGCCCAACTGCATTTCACGTTGCCTGATTACCTCTCGCTTTACATATCAATGGTCAAAGTGTAAAAGCACGCATCACTATTACGTTGCGACAAAATGTCCGCAACTACCTCATTTTTTCGAAGAGAAACAAGTCAATTTTACAGACTATTCTGCTAATAGAGAAGAAAAATCAAGGAAGTTTTTAAGAGATTACGTTGACTATAGTTTTTCAAAGAAACAATTAGGTGTGACACTGTGACAGGTATAGTCTGCAACACCGTAAACGGAGATACTTGGTTTTGCATTTTGGCTATCGTTATTTTCAACGAGAAATTAGACAGCATAAAGCTTGGAAATTTTCCTAATATGTACTCGTACTCTGGATCATTAAAAATATTCCTACCAACTTTGAAGTCAAAATTTTGGTCAGTTTTCTATCAGAAAATTTAAAATAAGAGGAAAGTCTGGCATTCTCTGATGTAGTTAGGCCGAATCTAGTTTAATTTGTCAAACTTTATCTTTGGTTATCGGTTGCATCGCTGTTTAAATTACAAGCTATTTGTATTGCGAAGATTCAAAAATCCGCTCCTATTCATACTTCATTTTTTTGAAATGATTGATTCACACTTTTTTGTGCGTACAATAATTTTAGCCGCTGTAATGTGAGGGCAATACTTCATTTGCATTTGAGCCCCAAAACGCATTTAGAGTATTAATAAAACAAACGGAAACAAACACAATGTTGAGGTAGAGCGAGAGAAAGGTAGCTTGTTAATGACGGCGCAGAGATACAACTATTCGTGCTTAGTGGATGTCCGTGTTGCATATATGCAAAATTGAAGGCGCTAGGCGTGCACTCGCAATGCTCATCTTAATGTTGCCAATGAAGTGTCGTTCCTGGTGGGCGACTATTTTTTTTATTATTCTTCTTCTTTTTCATTTACAGCCTTCTCTGGATCACGTTGTTGATTGTATTTATACCTACTTCTTTTGTGGGCTGATTGTGTTTTTCATTTTTAACAACATTATAAATGTACTGGCTAATCTGGTATTTTGAACAATTTTAAGTCAATGATCGAACGGAGGTTAAAACGTTTTATCACCTCATAATCGTTAATATTAATCTATCTGCGTTTCAGTATCTACGCGTCATGAATTTAACGCTCATATTCATTATTATCCATATTAATCTCACCTGTTATATTCTGAATAAATAAAAGTGGTATTTTTCTTTGACAACACAGTTCTACAAAGTGAGCTCCCTGTAACAGTCGAAACAAAAATTCCGGAAATATTATCTACCCGTGCTGAAATTTTTCCTAACAGCCAGTTTTCCCGAGGAGGAAAATTTCACTCCGCAGGGGCCGAATTTTGTCGGTACTTTCGAACTAAATTTCACCACCCTTGCATGAGTCGGAACTTTACTATCGATAAAGCAGTGGCGCTAGACTTGCGGACGGATGGACTTGCAAGAACTGTAGATGTAACCGTAAGTATATTTCAGTATATCTGCTTTTCCTGACAAAATTCGGTCATTGTAAGTATGAAGGAATAACTCTATTTCGAGATTCAGAACTTCTCTAAAAGTTCCATTCCGCTCTATCCTAACAATCATCAATACTATAAGTAGCTTCCAAAAAATTGGTGAAAGCGCAGAAATTTATTAGACCAACTCCCTCTCTGGGTGAGTCAAAAAAAATTATGCATTCAGAAAATGCCTCGAATCGATGTCACCGAATCAAAGTTTGAAACTAATGAAAAAAATAAAACATCTGGAGAAAAGATCAGGCATAGACTACTATATTCAAAGCCTCAAAATAAAATTATAGCCCATGACGAGTGTCGAGGTCAAATATTCTTATGAATATTTAAAGAATGTATTATTCTACAACGGAGAAAAGGTAATTTCAGAAAGGATTTTTTTCTCCACTTTTAAATCTCTTGTTTAGCGAAGGAGCAACCATAACAAATGCATCGCAGACCTTCACACTCAGAATGATCGTTTTCATGCAAGATTTTTGAGTTTTTGCATTTTTTCTTAAAATGTATAGGATGTTTTTGCTAAAAATATTTCATGTTTCTCTTGGTAACAATTCGCTGCAATGGCTGAATATCATGATATTGTGAGTGAATCCATAAAATGTGTACGATTATTCAATTCCTTCAAAACATTTCTTTTACTGCTCATGATCTTCAGAAATGAAAACCTTACCTTCAGAGCCGATTCTGAGAATAAAACACCGTTATTTCCAATGATTCCTATCTTGTGCCCATAGAGTCTTGCAAATCCTGTCACCAAAGTCTCTGCAAAACGAGATTTGAATTCACTGAATTCAGATCCATCCACAAACCGTGCAATGACCTGTCAAGGTAAAATACAACAATATTTTAATAGATATTCGCAAACAGCTTTTTAAGTAACCCTCATTTTACCCACAGAGAAACGAATTAGTAAATAAAATGCGTAAGCACTCTGGGGGAGGGGGGTCTGAGCCTGCCTTACGGATAAGTCACAGGGGGAGGGGTCGTTTAGGGCTACGTTATGTAACGATATCGTCACCTTCCAGCCAAAGTATCGCAAGCGCCATGCGACGTTTCAAAATTTCCGCCGCCATTTTACTTTTTCACAGAGAAATTTCTGGTTAAATCTGTTTGAAAATTTCACTGAGTTTTCTTTGAGCTGCCGATAAAATTCAGTGAAATTTTCAAAAAGCTTCGTTGAACAATTTCTCTGTAAAAAATTAAAATGGCGGCGGAAATTTTGAAACGTCGCATGGTGCTTGTGGTACTTTGCCTGGAAGGTAACGATATAATGATCGCGAAACACCGATTTTTCAAGAATCTAAGACGGTATATCGACACGAGGTGGCAATCATCCATCCAAATTCATCTCAAAACGTTTTCTTGAAGAGGTTCGAATAGAACGTAATTTTTTTAGGAGGATGCATACATGTGTTACAGGCGCGTTACAAGGGGGGGGGGGCAGTAAAAAATCCGCTTTTCAGCCTTGATTATTGTTTGAACGGCCGTGATGCGCTCAACCAAATTTTTGTATTTCCTTCTCAAGTTAATTTTTTTCAGGTATCATTTCTTGAAAAGTCACCGCAAGGTCTAAAAAAGTTATTTTGCTTTTTCATCGATTTACTTCCTTTCACAATCTTATTCGCTCTCATGTTCGTGCTTATATTGCGGTCGTCGCACAGTGGGACGAAAAGGTGTCAAAACGGGACATTCGCACATTAGACGATAATTTTTCGCCGATTTTCTCAAAACTTGACATTTTCGGTCTTTTTGGGAAAAGTAATCCAATGTTATGTTCAGAATTTGGTTCATTGTGACATCCCGCCAAAAAATCGTGTTTCCAAGTCTCTGTTTTAATCTATTTGATAAACAGATTAGCATGATTATGGTANGTCCCAATGTGCGTCGGAGCAACACTTTGAATAGTGCTTTGCAAGCAAAGCTGTAATGTTGCTAATGAAAGGGTGGGGAAAAAAACTTTAAAGCGCCTTCAATTTTTTGTATATGTAATACGGACATCCCTGGAGTACGTATAGTTGTATCAAGACGCCACTATTCATTTCGCTTCAGGTAACGTATCGTGGTGTGAATGAAGAACAGAATAACGATGGCTACAGTCAAAAAATTTGTCACTACATTGCAGAATTCGAAAATCTCGAAAAATTGTTCTTGAAATTTTCAGAAGTTTTAGATCAAATCACGATCAAAATTATCTGAGAAATTGGTAGACAAATATTCAACTATTTTCCTGAAAATTAGTGATTTACCGGGGGAAATTTGGCAACGCCTAAAGGCTCTTACGGCGTTCTTCCTTACCATGGCAGTATTGCTCCGTCCATCAATTGGACTGCATTTTGAGATTTGGAACTATAAATTCTGGATCATCTGGAAAAACACTTATGTGCATAGGGAAACTAATGACAGATACGTTGTTTTTAAACCGGGCTAGAATGTATAGTTCCAAATTGCAAAATGCAGTCCAATTTCAATAATGAGCCCGCCAGCACGGCAATATAAGAAAGAGTATCTTCGAATTTACCTCTCGAATGTCGAATGATTTTTTGAGATTCGTTCCAACGATGCCATAGAGTTGGTCGGCCGGGTAAAGCGGTGGTGCCACATCAGTGCTCTGTCGCGTCTCAGGCGGCGGCTCCAGCTGCGAGACGATGTTGCGAGTTATCGACAGGGCGTGGTGGTCGTTCAGAGCATAATGATCTGTAACGCCAGTAATACTGTGAAATCAAAAACTTATCGTTAAGTTGTTTCTACAGAGGAGTCAACGCCGCGCCGGCCATCGTAACGTTCTAGACAAAACGTTAACGTTATGATACTTATCATAACAGCATTGTTCTTGCGAAAAATGGAAAATATGTAATTTTTCCTCCCCTTGCCATTACATTATTCAAATTGGATCGCATTTTGCAAAAAGGAACCACTAGCATTGCAATGTTGCTAAGATTGTGCAACTTCTTTTGTCTTGGAGGAAAAACCCGATTATCCATTAATGGTTTTTATTTTACTAGCTAAAAACTGTAAATTTAAGACAAAAATTACCATCTAAATTTCATAGTTTTTCACGATTTCCGCAATTTTATTGCAAAAAATGAATTTGCAAAATCTTAGCATCATTGCAATGCTAGTGGCTCCTTTTTGCAAAATGCAATCCAATGAGCCTTGTGCATATTTTATTTATAGCGCAAGCAAGAGCTTTTTGGTGTTTTCATAACCCTCGGTATATTTCTATCGAATGGTCAAATCATTTGGACGTATTTCTATTAAACGGAACTAAGCGCCAAATTGAGTTCCTTTTGAGGATTTTAGAATCCCGGATAGCGGGTTCAGTCAAACGGTACTAAGCGCCATGAAAAAGCATTGCGAGTACCTATACGACGGAACGAGCATCGCGTTCCGCAACACCCGCCAGTCCAGGCCCCCCTCTCCCTTCCTCCCCCTATGGCGCTTAGTTCCGTTTGATAAAAATACGTCCATTTCATCGGTAATCGGTTGTTGGTTAGATGAGTTGGCTTGGTGAGTTTACCTGCAATGTAGATCTCCTCCCCCGAGGTCTTCGGCGCTGACCACTTCACCGGTGGCCATCTTGACGAGCGGCGGCCCGGCCAGAAAGATCGTCCCCTGTTTTCGGACGATGACGCTTTCGTCGGCCATGGCCGGCGTGTACGCTCCACCCGCCGTGCAGCTCCCCATCACCACCGCGATCTGAAAAGACAACAAGAGAACTTTAGCCTTCAATGGAGATGTTGCATGAGTGAGGAATTTGCGATTCAACTATAGATTCTTTTGTAAAAGTTCGCGAGAAACACGATAGTGGCACTGGTTTTCCCTGAAATCAATTCCAAAGCTAAAAAAAGCTCTCAAAGTTGAAGGCGTGGTGGAGGGGATATCCCTCACTATCCTGAGAGTCCACCTCTACATTAAGACAAACTCTCCATGCAAAGATAGGGAGCAAATACATTAGCAGGGTTGCCGTGTTTTCAGTTGTGGAGTCCCCAAATAAAGTGGCAGCCCTGTAAATGTCTTTGCTCCCTATCTTTGCATGGAGAGTTTGTCTTGATGTAGAAATGGATTCTCAGGATGGCGTGGGATATCCCCTCCATTTTGGCCTCAACTTGAGAGCTTTTTTTGAGCTTGGGAGTTGATTTCAGGGAAAACTAGTGGGATCATCATGTCTCTCGCGAACTTTTACATAAGAAACAATAGTCAAATCGCAAATTCCCAACACTTGCAACATGTCCATTTGCATATGTTCCAGGTTTCTTCATTTTTATTCAATGCATAGGCAGATAGTCACATTTTTACCGTTTACGAAATTTTATAAATTTAGTTGTTATTGTTACATTTTATTGTTTTCAATATTTTGAAGAAAACAATTCATCAAATGGACGTATTTCTCCCAAACTGAACCAGAGACAAGTGGGAACGAATGGGTGTGCTTGTTAGTTGAGGATCGTATAAGAATGAATGGGAATCATAGAGCGCCAGTGACGTCAGCGGTGACAGATTCCGGATCGGGATTGATGTCCGGAGTCTTTAATTCATGAGCCCTGTCCACAACGCTCTTGTGTACTTGCTCACGGATCATGAGTGCCGCATTCCGTTCCGTTTAATATATAGAATATAAAATCCCTTCTTTCCATCTCTCCAAAAGGAATCACGCTCCCTTTATCATTCTTTCTTAAGCAGCTTTTTAGAGCACACCCCACTTTTCCCACTCGTCTGTTCCGTTTGGTAGAAAAACGTCCAAGTCCAAGAACTCTCCTTGTTCCTTCCTCTTCAAATGCTTCAGGTAAGTTCAAATGCTAAAAGTTTGCATTTTATGACATGCTGAAAATGTCAAGAAAAATTCACACTCGGAGGCGTAAAAAATCGTTTAAAATACTATCGTATGATGCAAATTTTTGCGGAGGATTTTTTTTTACGGAAGCATGGTATAATTTTACCTAAATTTAAGAAAAGAATAGAATGGGCACAAATTAGTAAATTTAAGCAAAAACTATGCAGGCTCCACAAACGACGAGTCGTATAACAATAGGTCTGATGCAGGCAAGAGATACAGTCAAACATTTCTAACAACATTTCATACAGTCAACATGTTTTACCTTAATTGACATTTTTTGAACTTTTTGGCTTTGTTTCTTGCACTTCCTGTGCTACACTCTCGCTATGCAGGTAATCCAGTAGCGTAAAGGCAAACATTTTATCATCTCTGCGGATGCAAGCCTAATCGTGTAAATATAATATTAGCGAGACGTAAGGATGGGGATACCTGTGCAATACCTCTGGCGGACATGTTGGCCTGGTTGTAGAAGATGCGCCCGAAATGCTCCTTGTCGGGGAAAATATCGGCCTGGAGGGGTAGGTTGGCACCCCCCGAATCCACGAGGTAGATACATGGCAAGTGGTTTTCGGAGGCGATCTCCTGGGCTCGAAGGTGCTTCTTCACCGTCAGCGGATAGTAAGAGCCACCTTTCACCGTTGCATCGTTCGCCACTATGACACATTCGCGCCTGAAAAATGTTTCAACTTAAGATCCCGAGAACACAACCATACCATATTAAGGTTTATACCAGAGGAGTCTATCGACGGTGTAATTCGGCAATCACATAACTCGGTTTGCGACGTCACAGACTTCCTGTCATACTTTATTTTTTAAACGGAAAACTACTCGACGGCAATTATTTGAAACTGCCGTGATTTTTCTTCTCCGTGCCAAGAAAATGCTGCAAAAACTTCAAGGAATCATGTCGATTTGTTCTCCTTTAAAAAATAAAATAGATGCGGAGATTTTCAAACAACGCAAAGGAGATATGTGATTGCGGACTTACGCCGTCGCTATGTTTGCGGGATTTCCAAAGTCTGGTGAGAAGAAATCAGAAATTATTTTTTGGCAACGTCGCTAACCTAGAATGAAGCGGTGTTGAAACGGCACACGGTGGATCGCGTCAACGAGAAAGATCGGATACATGAAATTCTTTACTAAAACTGTAAATTTTGATGTCATTTCGTCACATTTGAGTACTATGAATGTATGTAGAAGAAAATTGCACGGACAAAACAATGGAACCACTTCTAAAGGCGCAATATTTTGTATAAACGGAGTTATAAAGTAAGTTTTCAATTTTGGTCCGACATCTCCGATTGACTCAATCCACTGTGCGGCAGGTAGCTCATTCATCACTGCTTCAGTGCTTCACGCACAAGGGTCATTTACTACAAAACCATTGCCAGTTTCTTTTCCTATTACAATTACTTAATTTTTCACAGAATCAGGATGAATTTTAAAATTTTAAGCAATGTAATCGATAGATTCAAACACGCAATAAATATTTTTTGGTTTTAAGTATCACTCTCGTAAGTGCGCCCAAGCGCTTCAATTGGAGGGCATGTAACCAAGACGCCTTCAACTCATTGCTTATGCAACACCCATATCCCTGGAGCACGAATAGTTGTATTTATAAACAACTTTCCGGTAGGCCTGTTTGCAGTGGATTTGATTGTTATTAAGAAGAGCTTTTGCGGTCTGTTTATGATTGTAAATCGATAATATCGATAGTGGAGCCGCACGACAATTAAATCGTTCATCGATTGCGCAGTTTCAAAATATCCTCTACCTTTTTTTATTTTTTAAAGGACAACAAATGGATTGCATTTTGCAAGAAGGTACTAAGAGCATTCCAATGTCGCTAAGATTGTGCCACTTCTGATACCTTGCAAACATAAACCAATCATCTAATTAAGTTGTATCTTTACTTCCAAGAAACTAAAAATTCCAGAAGAAAATTGCCCGGGTGATTTTGATTTTTTGCATGATTTTAGTAATTTTATTGCGGAGTATATAAGTTGCACAATCCTAGCAACATTGGAATGCTCTTGGTTCCTTTTTGCAAAATGCAATCCAAATGGACAGTGTTGTGTTCAATTTTGACAGTTTTGCACAATTTTTTTCGAACGCTATCACTTATAATTACACTGAAACACTAACCCAGCGACTTTGCCGATGCCGGTAATAATCCCTGCTGCAGGGACCTGCTCGTTGTAGACGCCATGGGCTGCTAGCTGCGAGAGTTCGAGGAAGGGGGAGCCGGGATCTATCAAGGCATTGACCCTGTCCCTGACCAGGAGTTTACCCCTGGACGTGTGCTTTTCTTTGGCCTTCTCACTTCCACCCGCCGTGATACCCGCGATGATCGTCTTTAGTTCCTCCACCGCTTTCTTTAACTGAACGTAGTTTTCCTGACAACACGCAAAGCAAATATTAAAAAATAAAGCATACTGCCGCGAAAAAAGAAAAACGCCGCATCAATCTTCGATTATCGCCATATTTCCCCGATAAAAAGTTCATTCTGAAAAAAAGTCATGTATTTAATCTTCAGATAATTTAGAGTAAATTTCGAACAAAATATTCTGCGATACAAGAAGCTAATATTCACAATTTTACAGTAAATTCGTATTTTATGGAAAGGACATTTGGCAACGCCTGAGGTTTCATACGGCGTTTATCCTCAACAAGATAACATGGGTATAGGATCAAAAGAGCACAAGGGCACTTTTTGATGACACTTAAGTAGAAGCATCAATTAATCGTGGTTTTCAAGGTGTAGGTACCCATGGAAATAGAAATGGAAATAAATCGGTGAAATTACATTTTGGGAGTCTAAGGGGAAATAATCCCCCAAAATGTTGAAAATTTTAAAAAAACGAACTAAATTTGAAAAAAAATGATTTACTCAAAAGGTACCATAAGAATTGTATATTTTGCAGCCTTTCTCGTTAATTGTGTTCCACAAGAAGTTTTCAAAGTCGCATGATTAAAATGACAGGAAAAAAGGCGAGTCTGCATGGGATTTAAAATGGCGATAAAAATTTAGAATCTTAAAAAACACAAGCCGGTTGTGAGGATAGGTACAAATAGAAAGAGCTCGATCATGCCATGCTACTCAAGACTATGCCCTAGACGTGTATAGGTACTGGCTTGTTCGTAGAGTATGTAAGTACCCATCAAAATAATGAAATAAAATTTGCATGCTCAGCATTCGGAAGGTATCGTATTATTATCTGATTTGCAAGATCAACTTTTGAAAATATTAGGAGCTTTGGTAACTTTCCACTTCTCCTATACTGCATACAGCAATATTTGAATAATTTTGTTTCACAGCATGAGAGTGGCAGAGCGGCAGTTTATTTTGAATAATCGTATTATGCTTGAATAAATGCGGACAATTGATATACCGACATTTTTATGCACTTAATGCGGTTGGCGCCCCGTGCACTCAATATTGATTACGGTATCCGCCTCAAGAGAATTAATATCTTTATAACCACATCAGTTACTGTAACGTCACCGAATGTGACCAGGAGTCTCAATCGAAAATACTGCTGAAAAATATTTCAACTATCAGTCGATTGATAACTTTTGGATTATATGGCATCTTTTTGAGGATTCCCAAAAGTTACATCACGTTGTAGTGCGTCAGGTTTCCAATTAAGATTAAGTTTTTATTTGATCGAGAGATACCCGGCACGTCCCAATTACAATCGCAAATTGAAACACATAAGAATATTCAAGTCACTCTGCCTGCGTAGCGTACTTTTAAAGGTTCTCTACAGGGTGATCCAAAAGTCCCTTCCACCCCCTCTAACTTTTTACCTAATTGAGGTAAAGATTTGAAACTTGGGGGATATTCCTAGGTCAAAGGGAGCTACTTTTTGGGCCCCCTAAAATTTTCAGGGGGGCCCCCCTTGGGGGGACAACGGCCCCCAACTTTTAATTTTCAAATAGGAAGACCCCCTTTGTGATAGCTCGTTCAAAAGAGCATAAAAAAAGAAAACTTTTCGCGCNATTATTATCTGATTTGCAAGATCAACTTTTGAAAATATTAGGAGCTTTGGTAACTTTCCACTTCTCCTATACTGAGTCATACAGCAATATTTGAATAATTTTGTTTCACAGCATGAGAGTGGCAGAGCGGCAGTTTATTTTGAATAATCTTATTATGCTTGAATATATGCGGACAATTGATGTACCGTCATTTTTATGCACTTAATGCGGTTGGCGCCCCGTGCACTCAATATTGATTACGGTATCCGCCTCAAGAGAATTAATATCTTTATAACCACATCAGTTACTGGAACGTCACCGAATGTGACCAGGAGTCTCAATCGAAAATACTGCTGAAAAATATTTCAACTATCAGTCGATTCATAACTTTTGGATTATATGGCATCTTTTTGAGGATTCCCAAAAGTTACATCACGTTGTAGTGCGTCAGGTTTCCAATTAAGATTAGGTTTTTATTTGATCGAGAGATACCCGGCACGTCCCAATTACAATCGCAAATTGAAACACATAAGAATATTCAAGTCACTCTGCCTGCGTAGCGTACTTTTAAAGGTTCTCTATAAGTACTGCTCGCTCGAATTTTGTATCAAACTGCCTGATATATGTTAAGGATTTTTAAACGAATGTATCTCGAAATCTAGAAATCACCGCATTGAATCGATCGACTTATCGAATCTTTCTCAAAAATGCTACCAAACTATTTCAGAAGACACTGGAAACTTTTTTTAAAAACAAATTCGACCCCGAAAGAGTCAAGCTTCATTTTTTTTCGCCCTGATAGTTTAGAACTTTAGACTCATAGGTATTGCGTGATGTTGAGCTCGGGTTTGATTCCCGGTACCGGAGCAATCTTTATTCTGGTCGACTACCGGGTCGGCCAGAAAAAAGAGTGTTCCGGTACCGGGAATCGAACCCGAGCCTCCTGGGTGAAAGCCAGGTATCCTAGCCACTAGACCATACCGGATTGGTGGTGTCTGGGCACACTGCAACATTTATGATGAAAATACTTCGGCGCTGTTCGTAGAACATCTTCGAGAATATTTTTAGCTTTAATCTGAAAAAATGAGCTTGCCAAGTTGCGGAGTTGCCACGTCCCAACTTTAATGCCTATGAAATTTATTCCTAAACTTCGTAAGTTTTGCGGCGTTGCAAACTCTCTCGCATGGACACTTTATTTTTTCAGCAAGAAACTATTCTTGCATTTAGAAGCACTCTCTAACCAAAACCCATTTGCCGTAAACCAAGGTTTTTTTTGATTCGGTTCAGTCATGCTGGATAGTCAAAGCTAGAATCGCAATGATATTCTAACTTCTTGCCATAATGTCGCGATGTTTACAATTCTTGGGGTAACATATCGACGGTGAAACTGCCAGAATGCGTATTTTGGTTTGCGTTGTTTCGAAATCTTCGCCACTATTTTATTTTTTAAAGGTGACAGAACCTAAATCACGCCTTGAAGTTTTCATGAAATATTCTATAAAGAGAAGAAAACTCATCGAAATGTTCAAAAAATGACGTTCAGTAGTTTTCTCTGCAGAAAATAAAGTATAACATGGAAGCTTGCAAACAGGAAGTATGCATTTCCGCAGTTCCACCATTGATATGGACAATTTTCCAAGATTTTTGGCGATTCCATAGCAAGGCTCTGGGGTTCCTTAAATTAAGGAGGTAGACAATCTGCGTCACAGCTAGAAATAGCAAATTATCGCTCTTTTATTCCAATATGTTTCAATAAAATTAATGAATGAATAAATAGATAAATAATAATATCTCGATAGTAAATCGCGATAATTTCGCCCTTTCAAATACGTAATCCTTACATATCTAGGGAAAAAATTCCAGTAATTTGATTATATTTTCGCCACTTATGGCAATCTCTGCTACTTGGTACTATGAGTTTTGCGAATTTCATTGTTTATAAAACTGAAAAACACTCTTCGATTGGTAAGTACAAAAACGATGCTAAACATTTAATGAGACTTCAGTATCCATGCGAATACGAATGACCATATAAAATAAAAAACCAATAAAATCAGAAAATATATACTGATGTATCGTTATCTCATTTTTTTTTCAACATTGCAATAATTTAACGATATTTTCAAAATTAATAACGATCTCTGCTACTTGGTATCGTGCATTTTGCGATTTAATTGTTTCAAAGATAGAAAAACACTATTCGCTTGCTGAGTAGAAACACAAGTTAAACATTTCATGAGGATTGAGTATCCTGTGAATACGAATAACTATAGAAAATAAAACAAAACAAAAAATCAGAAATTATACTGACGCATCGTTCTCAATTTTACCAGGAAATTAAACAAATTGTAGGTAACTGACAAGGAATTGAATCGAACAGAATGGAAACAGCATGCATGTTGAGGTGAGCACTACACATTGAGAAATTATCGTCAAATCGTCATTGCTCTTCATGCGCCTATCTTCTAGGCTAAATTAGGAGTGCTCCATGCTGAATGAGTGCGATAAACTTATCGTTAGATTTATTTACCTGTCATAATTACCTTGTATTCTTGTGAGTTCGTGTCTATTTTTGACTTGATCGCAGGCCATTGAGAGGAATAAAAACGTTTAAAACAAAGAACACAGGATTTTGACTTTTGCATTTTCAGATCAAATTAAATACTCAGTTAAAAACAACTGATTGAAATCACAGGCATAGCACTAATTTGAATCAGGCGTTGACACTAAACTGAGCGGATGTTTAAAACGGTGGATCCTACTAAATGTTCTGATAAGCCGCCGAGCGTGTGCGTCAAGTGGTGAGGAAAAAGATTATAGTTTCCTACTATCAAAGGGATAATAGTAATAGGTACTCGCGATAATGGCAACAACCTGTCGGAGGAGCCGTACAAAGTAATGATAAGATAGTTTGAGGTGAGAAAGGTTAGAATGATCGGTACTTAAATGTAATCCTTTAAATACATGTTCACTTCGGGACGTTTAACAATGCTCACTCTCACACAATTACGCGTTTTTATCAAAGGAATGTATCCGCAGAGAGTGATATGAATTTATTTTATTCCAGATGACGTCATTTTACAGTTTCGTGAATCGCACAGTCGCTACAATTATCGCAAAATCAAGTTACTCTGTATCTTTATCAATATTCAAGAGTAATTCAGGATTCATTTTTAAATAAACATGAGAATTTTCTAAAAAAAAAATTGGATGGAAAAATACGCTTATCAAAACTTTGCCGATCAATAAAATTAGTTAATCAATGATCGCATCACAGATTAACGACGTGCTCCATTCTACTTTACCAAAAAAAAAAATGCTATGACAGAAATGAAAGCCAAAAAATTCTCTCAAAAAATAATAAATAATCATAAAAAACAAGAAGAAGAAAAAGCATTTTTTGATCGTTCGAGCGTTACAAAATTTTCCCCCAAAAATTAGGATATTTGAAGGATGTTCGCAAATATTTTTTTCATCGAATTCTTAGGGAATGTATTCTCCGTCTATCTTACGTATCCGTAAATTCAAAAGAAAAATATACCCGTAACTCTCCTGAGAAATAAATATTTCATGTTTTCTGTGACATTCAAGAGCTCATAGTGCGTTTTTCTCTGTCACGGCAGCATTCAACCCCTGCGGGCCGGTTATCGAAATTGATAGACAAAGCTGTAGACAAAGAAGACATAGAAAGTATAAAGCGATCCTATTGATCTTGTTGAAATGGGTGGTTCCTGTAGACTAAGGGAGAAAATGATGGACTAACTATCGGGTCCCTCGTGGGTTGCCGTTACTTAGTCTATTACCTACCTTCTTTGTCCATTGCAACCGCCCGCTTCCACCAATAAGATCCCTCTATATCTCTTTTGTCTTCTTAGTCTTTAGCTTTGTCTATAAATTTCAATAATTGGCCTGCTGGCGTCATTTCAATAATCAGCCATCAGGACTCCATTATAAACTAGCGATATGATAGACGCTCCGCAGCCGTGACAAGATATACAATAAAATAACAATTTAAAAAGCGGATAACATGTAACAAGGCTAAAATTTCAACGTTTCGGCTGAAAACCTAGCCTTCCTCAGTTGGATAAGTAGGAAGAAAAATGGTAAAAATCTAAAATAGTACCTGGCTGTACCTTTCAAAGTGAGAATGTTGTTACAACAGCATTCGAACAGCACGGCTGTCGTATTAAAATTCTCGCCTTGGAAGGCACATCCAGGCACTATTTTAGATTTTTACCATTTTTCTTCTTACTTATCCAATTGAGGAAGGCTGAGTTTTCAGCCGAAATATTTTGGTTTTGTTCATGAACTTTTAGCCTGAACCGGGTAAAAAGTTACCCGGTTTTTAAATCGTTATGTTACTGTATTATAGACTAGGAGGATCCCAGCAACCAGCTACCCTCTTTAAAGATCGCGGGAGATCTTCAGAGCCCCTCGGCGGGGTGTCTTTCTGCATTTTCCAGATCTCATTTTATGCGTGTGGCTTCCTGCAAAAATTTCCTTGTTCCGCACATGATCGCAAATCGATTTTCGCTGCATGATTAAAAGATGCACCCAAACATGAAACCGTTGTCATGTAATTCCTCCTATTCCATTATTCATTATTTATTTCCTCTTCGCCAATATTTATAATGCAACTACGGGATTAGCACCGTAAATCCATCCACCCGAAACTCGTTTTTAGCTTAAGAGGTTGTTAGAAGTTCGACCTTATATTGATCGTGCGACCGTGGCCGTTGTGACGGATCTCGGTGCAGCGTTCCTGTCGGGTTGGACGTCGGACGTCGCTGTCCCTTCGTCGCTAAATCAGTCTCGGACGTCCCGTCCGTCGCGTGCTCCAACGTCTGTCCCTTCGCATTCATTTCGCCCGCTCTGTTTTGTGTTGTGTCCCTTCGCGTCACTCATCAAAAGTGTCAATTTTGACCCACAAGTGGTTTTTTATTTATAATGTTGATTCGCGCCTTTGTTTCGATTGAAAGCTGACCGACTGCAACGCTGTCATCATGGATACGAGACTGTAAATAATTCTTCTATCGTTATTACTTTCATGTATTTTTAACGGAGGGCTCAGGAGAAGCGGCACAGTGGCAAGTGGCACATTCCAATGAAAATATTGAAATAATTTTTAAAAGTGCGATAAAATTGCAATTCGTCACCTTCCGGCCGAAGTGCCACAAGCACAGTGCGACGTTTGAAAATTTCCGCCTCTATTTTATTTTTTTACGGAGAAATGGTTGGTTGAATCTGTTTGAAAATTTCACTGAATTTTATCGACAACACGAAGATAATGCAGTGAAATGTTCGGACAAATTTGTTGAACAATTTCTCTGTAAAAAATTAAATGGTGGCGGAAATCTTTAAACGTCGCATGGCGCTTGTGACACTTCGGCCGAAAGTAGACGAATTGAGGAGATTTCCGATATGAGAGCTGATGCCGAAAAATTGCGTTTGAGAAAAATTCGATTGAAGTTTTCATAATTACTTTCTGGCCACTGAAGTCGACTTACATCGAAGCTTGGACTGTTCTTTCTGCTATGTTGCCATGGTAAGGAAGAACGCCGTATGAGCCTTCAGACGTTGCCAAGTTTCCTTCAATAAAAACCGAATTTTCTAGGAAAATTGTGAATATTTTTTTCCAACATTTTCAGACTATTTTGTACGCAATTTCCCTAGTGAAAATTGGCGATAAGAGCTGTGTTTCAAAATACCATAGGAATTCTTATAGCCAGCTGAAGAAAGCTACAGAAAAGCATATAGCTGGCTGTAGACTGCGAAGAAAATCATACGGCCGGGCTATACGAAGCGATAAAAAATTATGCAGCCGGGCTTTACACTTTATCGCCTGGCTGTTACTTTTTCGCCATCGATTATAAAAGGCTAAAAGAAATTGTGTAGAAATTCGTGTGCTTTGGAAATCATTAAGTTTCATACGGAACCACCTTAATATTTACAAAACACACATTATACTTTCCTTTAATACATATTTTTTTTCATCAATTAAAATGAGAATAATCCATACAGGATGTGCAAACATTTCAAAATCATGAGTTGAATAACGCTGACTCCGCCAGATTAAATATTGGAGCACACAAAGCGGAGCGGCGACGCACTGGCGCCTATAAACCTAACAGGGATACTTCACGCATTGCGCAACGCGTGTAGTATCCCTGTTAGGTTTGTAGGCGCCAATGCGTGTTTCGCGCTGGCTGCCTGCCTGCCACGGCGCTTGAAGCAACTATTTCACACCAGAGGTATTGCACAGTATCATACGAAACTGAAGGCGCTCTAATATATTAGTAATGGCAGGCATCCATCAAAAGTACGGAGCTTTCCTCGCAAAATAAATCAAGATACTACGTTCCAAAAAGAGAGTAATCCAAAAACTCAGTAAGTCCTAATCCGTACTTCAGCATCCGTAATTAGTAACGTTTAGCATACACTTTATCGCCTGGCTGTTGCTTAATCGCCATCGGCGATAAAAGGCTATAAGAAATTGTGTAGCCGGCTGTAGAAGCTATTGGAAATCTTACAGCCGGCTGTAGGTCTATGGTATTATGGAACACAGATTCTAATGCCATTTTTTACCAGGGATCTAAAATATCTGAAGATTTCAAAGAAAAATGTGCGTAAATGTCGTCAAAAATTCATGTTTTATCAAGGGAAATTTGTCAACTCTCGAATGTTCATACGGCGTTCTTCCTTAGCACAGCAGTATAAGTCACCGTTCACCTTCACTAGTCAGTGAGTGATAGTGACAACCTGCAATGCACTTTTCCCAAACGCGATTATTCAGTGAGGGCTCTTTTTTCGTAGAGCTCCTTGATTTTTTTAAGAATGAAACTGCAATATTTTTACACCATTTGGTCAATAAATGCCGATTCCAAACAATGAACAAAATGAGTTTCATGAGTAAGTTGAAAGGTAGACGATTTTCAACGCAGGACAAGTTAAAACTTATTGGAATTTTATTGTAATAAAGTTCAATAAGAGGGGCATCTTCAATTAGCGTACAGGGAACATACACAGCATTCCGGTACAACAGCAATAATTTTACCACGTATTTTTATATGACCTGTGCTACATGGTTGTATGCGATCGTTGTAATTGCAGAAATCCACATTTGAACGAAATCTAGATTAAAAAAATTGAAAATTAAGAATGGTCCAGCCAAATACTATGCATTGTAATATTTCCATCAAACACCTACGCTATTTTATTGAAATAATACCGCTAAAAATGCTAGCACTAAGCGGTTTTGTGGAAAAAGGGCGTATCTGCTAAAATTTAAAAAAAAAGTATTTTCTTGGTCAATTTTAATGACCCTCCTCGCGTATGTGGAACATTGATTAATTTTCTGGGACAGAGATTTAAATTCTCCAGAAAACCAACTTTTTTTGTTTTCTCGAAACTTGCCTTCAGGCGGTTGCGCCCTTCTTCAAATAACCCGTTCAATCCGTTTTTTTATGAAAAACAACTTGGCAACATCCACATGTCCATTCGGTGGTTTTTTTCCTTTGAGCAAGCACGATGGAATATCTTCGTAATTAAACGGAAGAATGTGAAATGTATCTCAGCGCCAACTATTCGTACTTAATGGATGTGCGTGTTGCATACGGAAGTAATTGAAGGCGTTTTGAATTTTTCGTGCCCTCAGCGACCGTATTTTCACGCAATCGCGAAACGATGTTTCGATGAGGTCGGGGAGCGAGAGGAAAATGGATATCGCGTATTTTACTACGATTATTGATGACAAGCAATTCGATGACTGCATTTCAAAACTCTGCATCTCAACAGCAACGTTGCAAAATTTCCATAAATACATTAATTTTTATATAATCATCTGATTAAAACTATGGGTTGAATGTTCACATAGTAACCATAGAATGATAGGGGATATGTTTTCTGCCCACTACACGATCCAACCCCCAGAGAACTATTCGCACCCTCAAAGAACCGTTTCGTGGGTCATATTCCAAAAATTAAAAGAGAGTGGGTTCATGTAGAAGCTATCTGCCAGGTGGCAGTATCCGGAAAAATCATAAAACATATTTTTAGTAGATCAGATCAAACTTTTACAAAAAAATGAAAATTTAACTGGGCAATTTACTTTTTTACAAGAAAATGTTTGTTCGGATTCCTTTGAAAGTTTAAGGAAATTTGCTTTGTACTATGTAGAATATTCACCGATATTTGAACAAAAACCCGCACAACCGTTTTCAAGTAAAAAATTAAATTCGTCAATTAATGGCGATAGCAATATTGTGGCTTGGTTCTATTCTTCTTAAAGCGGTTCAATTAAGAGGTTTATAACTTAGATAAGCTGCTTTGGAGGGAAACCATCGCCCTAAGTTTTTATGAAGCAGGGAAAGATGAATTTTGTAATTTTGGTAAATTGGCTATAAAAATCCGAGCGCTCACTGACGATTTGGCGGCTTTGGGCAGCGGTCTTCCTGCCTGGAGGTGCCAGCAAGCGCGGGCGGCTCTAACGAGGATATTCTAATAACTCAATCCAGCCGATTCCCGCATCTCCTAGCTCCCCTCTCTTCTGAGCTCCCCAGGGATCGAGCACGCTGAGTCAGAGGTTAAACTCTGAGAGTAATCACCAATGTCTTGTTGGAATTAAGTCATTTTTAGCTCAATTTTTAAAAATTGAATGATCACTCAAAATGCCCATTTTTTGCAAACCTATAACGAGCTTTATTATTTCAATTGCTACACGTATCCAGTTAATCTAAATTAGATTGACGGAATTTCGAGGTAAACGAAATTTTAAAAAAATTGACTACTAATGTTATTTCCGGCAGCACAGCACACTGAAAAAAATTCTCGGCGTTTTAGCAAGGTCCGTTGGTACACTGAAAAAAAAGTAGTTAGCGTTGAGAACTAATTTGGTTGGTTCTCGCCAAGTAGAATCAAAATTAGGCTTCAGAACTAATTTATTGTACTGAAGCACCAATCAATTCGCTTCATACGCTGACTTGACTTTACTAGAGCGCGAACCAGAATTGGAAAACAGCANTTTGCCATTTTACCTCGGTAATTCTACCACAGTCGATAAAAAATATTGGTGTTTTTACCAAGGTCCAGTAAAATTACCAATTCCATAAATGGTAATTTTACCAATTCCAAATTACCAAATTACCAATTACCATTTACAAATTACCAATTCCATAAATGGTAATTTTACCAAGAGAAAACTGGCTACAAATAGAACCCTGAATTCTTGGTTTTACCCTTTTCTTAGTAAATACACCGAGATTTTCTTTCAGTGCATAATGGACGTATTGGTGGTGCGCAAAAATTCAAATGCATGAAGTTGGATGAGCTTCTGAGCGACAATATGAATGGACTACACGGAAAAAACAACTTAGCACTGAGCCCTGACACTTTAGGTAGCATAGCGCCAACTAGAGGCAGTATAGGGCTGGTTGTGAGCCCTTTGCTGGACTGGACGCTAAAGCTGTAGGGCTCAGCACTGCTGCCTCTAGTTGGCACTATGTTACCTAAACTGTAAGGGCTCAGTGCTAAGTTGTTTTTTCCGTGTAGTTCATTCATATTTCCGCTTAGAATCTCATACGACTTTATGCATTTGAATTTTTGCGCACCATGCACCTGGTTATTATACTGCAAGCAGCTCAGCGCCTAAATGTATTTTCCGTGTACTAGACAAGGTACGAATTTAAGCATTTTGATATAGGTGTTCTCTTCAGAGTCTCGCTTTAAAACCGATTCGTTCAACAAAAAGTATTGAAATGAACTTATAATCATGATATTAACGTCTTTATGTAGCACTAATAAGGAGACATTTGAATTTCCCGCTCACGTATGAAAAACCAAAGTCAATATGAATCCGATCGCGCACCATAACGGCTTTGGAATAGAGCAGTGCGTCCCTTTCTGCCCTTCGTTGTTCGAAAGGTAAGCAACAGGCAACAGCTGAGCCGAAGCGATAAAATCGAGGTTGCCAAATTCCATACCGCAGAGACTATTTCGGTAACGTTTAGCGGGCAATGTGAC